TAACATGCTCACCTGTGCGCGTACGACCAGCCTCAATCACAATACTCGGCGAAGAGTACGCCATCGAAGACACGTATGTAGCGTGCATAGAGTAGCTCAGCAGCATAAACAGAAGACCAGTCACAACACCCAAAGCTAAGATCTTAGGCACAGGCTGCACGCCATCCTTCTGCACAACGAACGTCGACGGACGAGCCAGAATACCCATGAACCTGCGCAGCGTCGATGAAATGCCCACAGCACCCAAGATGCAAGCAATGGGTGCCAGCGTGAGCATGAGACGCACCATAACACCCGCAAAGTACCACGCCACTGTACCGTACAGGATGACGAAAATGCCGCCATCAGTAAGGTTCTGGAAAAGAAAGTAAAGACCCACTGGCGCGAAAGGTACCATAATGTGCAAGTCAAAGAAGTAGGATGTCCACGGCGTCGGCTGGTGCTCACTCACTGAAGCAATTATAGGGATATACTTGGACGCGTAGGTAGGGTCCAGCAAAGTCAAACTGCGACCCGTCCACTGAACCTTGCCCATGAGCTGCAACACCAGCAGAGCAAGCGCGAAGCCCGACACGAGAAGACTGGCACCCACCAGTACAAGACGGCGGAACGACGAAGCCGAGATATAGTTACGCAACCAGTTGACAAAACAGTATACTTGCAGCAGTACGAAGACACCATGCGAGCCAGCGCCACTTAGCCTGCTTAATGACGTTGAATCCCACGAATGGCACCTGCATGGCCATGAGGCTACCCAGTGTGTAGAACGTAGAGTACGCAATATAGATACGAGGAGTGTATCGACCTGCAAAGATCATCACGAGCACGTAGATGGGAATCATGTTGATGATAAACACGTAGCCACCCCACGCCGCCACCATGTAGAAATACGTCAGAGCACATCCAGCCGACCAGAACATGGATCCCGTGTGCACCGCTTTGATCCAGAGGTAGAACACGAAAATCAGTGCAAAGATGGCAACACCTTCATTGTCATATGATCCCCCAACTGAGCGAGAGATGTAGGACGGTACAATTCCTGCAAAGGCAGCAGCCAGAAGTCCTGCACTTGAGCGCTTGGTCACCTCCTTCGTCAGCAAATAGGTAGCAATTGCCGTATTGGCTGCAAACAGTGGGGCCAAGAACACGCACGTGTTGCGCACATTAATAGAGATGTTCAATACATTTAACACCCAGTACATCAGTGCTGCGGTGTACATGAGACCAGGATAAATGGTGCCACCAATGATACGACCAAGTGGATACCATGCACGATCATCAAACCAGTCCAAGAACTCGAGAAACCCTTCGGAAGCCAAGTATTTCGTCGTCCGAAAGTTAAAGTAGGGGTCAAATTCATGAATTACCTGTAATACATAATAAAAAACAGGATACCATACCATAAGATATATATCTCTAAAAACTGTCATACTTCATATCCATTTATAGAGGAGAGAGTAGACATACCGATTCGTAGCGCACGACGGCAAAGAGACGGATCGAAAATGACATGAGACAAATCATCGCCAGGATTGCAAATTTAGCGACGGGAGTGAGTGCATTCATGTCGTCTTCGGGGTCCCGTGGGTCGTCTAGATCGACACCAAACACGAAACGTGTGGGATCTTGGACAATTTGCTTTACTGTGGGCGATACTACAGGCGTCTCATGGTTCGGATCATCCGAGGAGGACGTGGCCGCCTTCTTGGCCTTGGATTTGAGTGTCATTCTTTCGAATGAGCGTCACTCTGGCAGTGACTTTCCTTTTGCCTTGCACACGTTGCACACGTGGCGGATGAGGTAAGAAGGAGTAATTACGTAAGAAAAAACAGGCGTTTTTACGATGATGATGTCTTTAAAAAGGCAACAAAACGGTTATGCAGCATACGAGCTTTTTAACAAGAGATGGGAAAAATGTCAATCGGAACATGACGTGGTGCACCTGAAGTAGGCACCATTACAAAAGCAGTGCTGATTCGTCACAATAGGTCATTTGAAACCATGTCATTGGCTTAAAATCACACCGAGAGATGGGTGGTTCCCGAAGCAATACGAGCCGCCGCTTTACGCCTTCATTTGCTACTGTCCAAAGCTATCCAAGAAGAAGGTAAGAAAAAGCAGAAACCTCTTTCTATGTACTTGGGCAGACAGAGTTGCAAGCAGGTCAGCGGGAGGAAGAGACTAGTATTGTATAGCAAACAAACGCAGCAATGACAAGAACGCAGGGCAGCAGAACAGTGCTAGGAGTCTCACCGTATACGTGGTCAAGCTTTTTCATGACTTCCACTTGACCTTTGACTCCCAACGACCTGCTTGCCAGCATCAAGTGATATGATACTAAGAACACAGAGACTGATGCTGTTGTTGTCTTTTTGTTGCAGTCTGCAATCATGGCGAACCTCACGTACTCTCACCCTCGCACTTATGGTAAAGACTCACGTCATTGCCGTGTGTGCAAGACCACCCGTGGTCTGATCCGGAAGTACCACCTGAACATGTGCCGTCGCTGCTTCCGCGAGCGCGCCACGGACATTGGTTTCGTCAAGGTAAATAAATTATTACACCACTGCTTGCCGCTCTAATGCAAACAAAAGAAATTGATGCCTACGTCTTGTGTAAATGGCAGTACCGGTAAATTATTGGTCGGCAAATCGCTCGCTGGACGACGGAGAAGAGATGCGCACGCACTTGTTGCGTTCGCTGATGCTGTTGCTTGCGACTGCGTGTGCAAGTGGAAAAGAGGTCGCTTAGATACGCCGAAGGACACGTCAATTTGAGCTAATTTAGAAAAGCTGGACGAGAAGAAGAAGAACCGTGACGTCTTCTTGACGTTATAGCTTTTTACCTTGTTAGTTTTAATCCAATGAAGCTGAAATTGCATAAACAAGTTCTCTTGACGCAAAAGAGTGCATTATACGCTTCCACTTTCTACTATAGTATGGATACAAGAACCTTCTGCAGTCTCCGTAGCATGAACTACTCGCTTAAAAACATGCGACAATGCGACAAATGTAGCCATTTCGAATATTTACAACCCCCCAAAACGAACACGTATCAAAACCTACGAAACAGCATATGCTCAGTTGACCCGAGGACAAAACCATGACTTCCTCTGGTGGCGCGGGCACGTCGATTAGACGGCAGTATGACGTCAATCGAGGCTTTTTCTACTCCTTAACTACTTTACTACTTACCCTTTTGTTATTATCTCCACTTATTGCAGCTCAACGAGCTTCTATTGCGTCACTAGAACGTCACAAAGGGAATCGACCGCTTCCAGTGGAGAATCACGTAATTGTTGACGTCAATGGCATTGCCACGTCACGTGGAATTGGACGTCGATGGAGTGATCGATTGTCTATTACACGTAGTTTACCTGTCCAATCGGATATTGGGCTTCCAGACACTCCAGTCGATGATCAAGCCATTCAATTCGTACCAAGTCGAGTTAATCTTGGACGAATGAAGACGTGCATTCCAGAGAGATCTTATGTTGGAGTACAAAACAATGGACGTGTACCCGTGACATTGGATCGAGCTGACTTTACACATGAAGGATTCTCTCTGGCCAATGATGTACGAGGGATTCGACTGAATCCAGGTGATCGATTCAATGTAGAATTTGTGTTTCTACCCAGTCAAGTGGAATTTAATGGAGTAAATGCTCATTTGAGAATTTTAACGACATCGGGACTATTTTCATTACCTATTAGTAGCTCCGAGGTAGCTCCTAATCGATATGGTGTAAATGCCGTCCGTGCATCGATTCCAGCTGGAAAATACTTTGAACAATTACTGGAGTTTACGAATCCGTCGACTTCTATGATTCGAATCTCGGAAATTTATGCATCAAGCAGCTTTGTTGATCTAAAACTAGGTAATGATAGTGACTGGATCTTTGGTCCACGATGGCCAAGAGAAGGTGATGAAGAGGAGTATCTTACTAGCGAAATTCCTGGACAATATGATAAAGCGTTTGATTATTCTAGGAGAGCTGGTCGTGGCGCATGGGACATGCCTGCTGGAACAACCAGCCCGCTTATATCAGTGTCAGTGCAATCGCATGCAATTGGTGTACATTTATTGTATCTTCACATTGCCACCAATGATAAACTCTTGATGTTGGTGCCTGTGCGCATCGCTATTTTGAAACCTGGAATACATATTGAGCCGGAGGCGGTGGACCTGGGGGTACTGACTGATTCGTATGAAGACGAAGCTCGTGAGCTGTTTTTTTCGTTGTATAATGCTGGTTCGACTCCGATTGAAATATTGGAGATTAAAGTCCTGGAAAGCAAATTGGTCGTCGCAGCGCAACTACGAGGACCGGCAGTTATTTTAGCGCAAACCCGAGCATATCATACACTTGTAGTGCAAGTTCGTGTCAATAGAGATATCATTGGTGGTAGCTGCATTGCGTCACTGCTTTTAAAGACAAATGCATCGAGCCCGGAGTTGAGGAACCGGAAACTGCGACTGTATGGCCAGGTCGTGAAAGGCCATTTAGCCTTTCAGCTAAACCAGACATTTGTGGGGGTCGTGGTGCCCCTCAAACGTGTGTTCAGTGAAGATGAAAAGGCTGCTGATATCATAGAAGAAAAGGAATCTGAGGGAATCGCGAAAGTTGAAGAAACACTAGCTGCCGACCTCGTGTCAATTGCTAGTGTAAAGAATTCGATGGCAGTTCTAGTTGGTACTAATCAAGTTAGAACGCTTCGTTTGTGGAATCGATTTGATTGCCCAGTGGAAGTACAACGAGTATGGGTGGATGACGTGCTGCCCGATAACGATATTCTCCAGGAAGTGATTGTACACGAATTCCAGCAGGTCATTGTTCCTGTTGGGGAAAGTTTACCGACAATATCACTGCAGATCACACCAACATTTCAAAACCAAGATAAACTGGCTACGTCACGATCCTATTCGTTAATGGTTGAGACAAATGGAACGCTCGATCGAATTCCGATTTACGTGTATAATGGTTTTTTAACTTTGAGTTCTACAAGAGGGCTCCACAGTTACCTCGTTTCCGGCTACTACATCGATTTACACACTGATCGACGAGAGTCGACGGGGGAATGTTTGTTGATGCCAAGAGATGGCGTAGTGCCAGCGACACCTCGCATAGACGGTGAAAAAGCTTTAACAGATACGAACGCTGTCCATATATGTCGGTCGCTGCTGTTTGATTTGGATAAGGTCGCATCACATAAGGCTTGTATGGAGATGGTGGAAGTAACAAATGAAAATCCGGTGCCACTGACACTTTCAATAATGAAAGTTTCCAAGAATGAGACGGTGGATGTGTCAATTGCAGCCGAAATATCTAATGCTGAATTATTCTCACATTTTCCGCATAACGCTGGAGCAGGTGATAAATGGAACAACATCATCAATTTTGTATCAGCCGGGGATAGTTTTGTTCTCCAGCCTGGCTACCGAGTAGTATTTCATATCAAAATAAAGGCGAAGGATACATTTGGAGAAATTACGGTTCCAGTCATGTCGCTGACAACAGAGTCGGAAGTTTTTCATCTCTATGCACGTTTCGTGAGTGTTCGAGGCACCATTGAACCGGTTACGCCAGTAATTGTTTTACCAGCGATGTTCCCTGGTCGCATAGAAAGAATTCAACTACAGTATCGTAATACTTTCGACCATTTGGTGACGGCATTGAAGGCCACTGTCAGCAGTTCAAAGCTTCAGCTCTTGCCAATGAGAGAAACCATGGCGCCTAGAACGGTTGAAAGTGTTTTGAATCTGATCTTTTACCCATGGGAGGACTCTGCCTGCGTAGGTATGTTGTACTTTGCGGATTGTTTGCTTCCGTTGGCAGATCCTATTGCAGAACACAAATGTTATCAGCTTTCGGACTATGGAGAGTTTGTGAATAAGTACGACTTGGATGCTCTACGCCGTCGGGATGCGTTTTGGCTCGAAAGAGCGGCAACCGGGATCCATTTGACCAGCGAAGCCCAGGTCCGTCTACATACTGATATAATGGATGATGTCGCTGAAGTCACCATTAAGGCTCTCCTTCAGCGTCCTATGGTGACTGCACCCTCAGGAATGGCATTGGATCCCAATAATGAATCTCTGACGGTATTTGGACGCAAGGAATTTCCGCTCACGGGACTTTTTGAGATGAATCACATTTTTGTGCATGTGCGGAACCCAAGCAACTTTTCAATAATGATGGAATTGGCCATTGCAGAAGCCGACGACGATCTCTTTTACTTTTGTGGCGAAGAGTCGCGGCACACACTCCAAGAAGCTGATAGTGGCGTGAAGTACGACGACCCAGAAATGTGTTTGGAAGAGTGGAAGACAGTGGCCGCATATGCAGCAGCTCGACACGAAAGTCGACAAAAGATCGATGTGCCTCCATTTTACTACCAGAAAAAGATCATCAAGGTCTATGCTGGAGAGGAGATACAACTCGGGCCTATTTACTACCTGCCCTCGAAGGTTCAAGAAGTAAGCACAAGAGTGTTTGTGCGCAATGATCTCACGCACATCGAGCCTGTGTCATTGTTTGCACAAAGTGGCAAAGGAACATTAAACATATTGATGGACGGTACAAGTGACCGCAAGTCTACGCCGTCCTATTACACAGCTGGAGAGTCTGCTGCTGTGAGTGAGGACAAAAAACCTACACAGCGAAGCGCGCCGGTCGAACTTGATGGAATCCTGAGTTTTTCTTTAACTTCGGATGATTCATTAACAAATTTTACACAGGTCGCTGAGATTGTGCTGTCTAATACGGGCCGGTATGGATTAACTATACGTAGTGTGGCGGTGGAACGAGACGAACATGTTTTGATGGAGTCGACATGGACATCAGAATCATCACCAAATAGTGATTTTGTTGTAACATCGGACGATTTCACTTGCGGCAGGGACGATTCCAAAAGAATACCAAAAGTGCTTGCTCCTGGCGAAGCTGCAAAGTTCCAGGTGTCCTACTATGCTAGTTGCTTCACAGCCGTATCGTCAAGTTGGCTGATCATCGATACGAGCGATAGCGTGAAGGATATACGGCTCGAAGGCACGATTAGCACCGATGCTGCCTTCACATGCTTGCGTTCTCGGACGCCGCGTTCGTCGCAATATACCTTTGTCGCAGTATGGATGGTAGCAGTAGTGATTGCTGTGATTTCTATATTGTACACGGTATTCCTTCTGACTCGCGACGCATGGACTTCCGAGCTTGAACTTGTGGGTAAAAAACAATCAGAGCAATTTGATGTACATTCTGAAAACACCGACACAAACGTGGTTGAAGTGACAGCTATCGAAAATCATGAGGAATCGTCAACGACCGCCTTGGATAACAAGAGCAGTGCGTTTCCATATCAGAGTCTTGCATCAATCAATCGTATCTTGGCGGATATGGAGCAAGTATCTCTTGCTCCACCAGCTTGTGTGGTAATGCCTGCAGTAGCAGAACTATTGGAACGTCGGCGCAAGGAATTGCACTCTACTGTGTGCAATCGGTCCCCCCAAAATGACCAGCTGAGTAAGAACGATGAAGCAGGAAACGATAAGCAGAATGGAAAACCCACAGCATTGACTGCGAAGGCAAAAGCGAGCACTAACAAAAAAGTCGTGCGTTCACGCGACCAAGTTCCAGCGTCCGACGAGGCGTCTACAGCGAGAATGGCGAGTTTGCGGGACGCTCAAAATAAAGTTTTGAAGGAGGCTGGCAGAACGGATATGCTCCCAGCAACGAACGCAACCCGACTTGTACCCACTCCAGACCAACATTTCAAATGCAGCAGCAAGAAAAGTGACAAGTCATGGTCGGAGAAGCCAACAAAAGGATTTTGCAGCTCGGTTTCATCTTCACGCTCGGCTATCGGTCAACACGATACTGAGCAGTCGAGCCGAATGGCAAAGCTCTCGAATTTTTCGATGGATTTCTCAGGCAGTTCACAACATGGTAGTGTGCGATCTGCACCTGTCACTTCACCGCCGCCTAAGAAAGAGGAAACTCCATTTGAAGCTTTCAAGTCTTTGTCTAAACGATGGCGTACTGTAACCGAGCAAGATGACTTGAACGATCATTCACGACCAGCATTGTCAGGAAAGTTTCCGGGTTTGGAAGAATGGCACGACACATTGTCGTTCAACACGTTTGCTCACAATTTGAGAGGTCCAACGGCTGGTAGAAACGGCCATGATGATACTCGAGCAAGACTCTATCAGGATGGATTTTCAGTGTCATCGATTCCTTTGCCAGTGGAAGCAAAACCACGAACGATTACTACAAAAGCCTCACCAAGAAAAGCCCCTCCAGGATTTACATCTGCGGATGCCAGACCAGTTGAGGCCCGAGCAGCTTTTGAGCGTTTTCGACCCAGTGGTGCACCAGCCTCTTCCGTCCCAAGTACAAACAATGAATTCACTGGCGGTTCACTGTTTGCAAACAATTTGCCATTGTTTGGGCCTGCATTGCCAGCAAAAAATGAGCATAAATCTCCAGTTGGAAGTGCTGGTTGCATTGGCAGTGGACGTTCAAAAGTGTTTCGTCATTTGGACGGTTCGCAAGATTCGACCAAATAGACCAATGTGACGAGTTACAACGCTTGTCAATTGTTACAATTGTAATTGAAAAAAAGGGGTTGTTAATTTGTCGTCGCATGTTTTAATTTCCACTTGTTTAATTTTTAACTTATTCCGTCCTAAAAAGAATGTTTCATAGTTGCAGAAATAGAGAGCTTTATTATATCGACAAGATATATCGATAAAAGGCATGAACTGTATCTTTATACGTTCAGACAGAATCAGCTGGAGTCCCCATCTCGTCTGTTGTGTCCTTCCTTTTTCTACCATATATTTATATTTATATATATATATATTCCACTACCTCATAGGAACAAGACAATATTTAAAATAGGGGTGGCACTTTAAAAAAAAAACTTGCCCAGCTTCGACCTTGATTTGTACCCGTTAAGTACATTAAAATGCTCGAAGCAATGGTGTATATCACTGTCTATTTCATAGCTTTAGTTGCTGGTATTCAAGACGTTAAAGTCGATACAATGTCATTTAATATTCGTACTTCATTGGCTTCGACCGATGCTGGATCGACGTGTAGTAATTGGGACGGAATTCGAAAAGAAAATGTCTTGAGGAATATCAAGACAGTCGGTGCTGATTTTGTTGGGACACAGGAGACTTCGGATGCTCAAAAAGTCTATTTGGATGCTCAATTAGCAGGCATGTATAACGTCATTGGACAAAGTACTGGCTCTCTTAATAATAAAGCTGCCGAATGGAATGCAATGTATTATCGAGCGGATACATGGAAACTCGTCATTGATGGCATGTTCTGGCTTGGACCGGATCCAAATACCATGTCTGCTGGATGGGGGATGACGTACTACCGGACGTGTGTCTGGGGTCGATTTCAACACATTGCGACAGGAGCTACCATTTGTGTCTTGAATACACATTATGAGACTCCAGGCAATGACGAAGCACAGGAGAATGGATCGAACATTATACTCGAACGTATTAAAGCTAATTGTGATGCCAAGGATAACCTTATTGTCTTGATGGGAGACTTTAATGCACTCAAGAGCTATTCGGCCATGAAAATCATGTTTGATCACGACATGAAGGATCCATCAAATGAAGGCACATTTTGTGGTGACATGCTGTCACCAACTTGCTCTGTCAAGTATGATTTCACGCTATTCCGTTCTCAGCGCAAAGACGCTTGCTATTTGAAGTCAGAAATCTCGCGTATTGCCTATAACGGCTGCTATACGTCCGACCACGCCGGACTAATTGGCAGCTTTTGCCTCCAGGGTTCTTGCTGTTTGGACAAGGTGTCGTCATCAAGCTCAGGTTCCAATGGCCCATATCGTCAGCATGATAGTAGTGTCGCAAATGAAAGGACTGTGGTCGGCAAGGTGCAAGCACCTAATACTGAAACCAGAAATACACCATCAAAAACAACCGAAACCAAAAATACACCATCAAAAACAACCGATCCAGCCAGCTCTTCGGTAGACGTAAGCAAGACAATTTCCACTTCTTCTTCAGGAAGCGGAAAAGTCTCGACTATACTCCTAAGCGTTTTGGGCTCTTCTGGTGTTTGTGGTCTCTTGGCTTTTGTGATCATCCGCCGAAAGAAAAAACTCGACGAGCAAGCCCGTTTGAAAAAGTCACACGATCCTGACGCCAGTGGATACTTTGGAGCAGCACGGTCAGTGTCCGATTTGTCAACACTTTCTCTTCCAGAAGGGAACGACGCTCGAGTGTCAATTTCGTCGATTCCAGAACTTGCAGCAATACCTTGCAATGCTCGCATATCAACATCGTCTTCCATCTCGGCGTCTGACTCGGATATTGTACGACATGGCGGTCATATTCCCGAGTTTTCTATGTCCAACACTACCAATTTCACCTCTAGCCAGCGATCGTCCATTGCAGTGATGAATTTTACCAACTCGGAGTATTCGTCTGCCTTTGGTAATTCAATTCTCGAGCACGAGAGTGATTTCAACAAGTTTGTCATGAGCGATGGTAGTAATTATGCTGAATCATACGGTAACTCGTCCGAAGCTCAGAGCAATGTCAATTTCAGCGAGATTTTCGTGCCAGATTCGTCCGTCTCGGAAGACAGTACGCTTGTCAAGTCACAACAAGCAGACTTTACCAAGCTCTAAGTTGACAGTGCAGTTTTTTTTGTCGTCCGTGTCGTCCGTTTTGATGAAGTATTTTTTCTTCTCAGGATCTCCGCGCACAAGTAATTTGACAATATGAAAAACTTCCGCGAGACCAGTCCCATTATTTGCTCACACAATTACTGTTTATTGTCGTTATAGCGCAAAAAAAATAATTTGTTATAAAAAATTGTGATAATGTCATGATGGGTACGCTAAAATTATAACTTTATAGAACCGTTACCACTTAATGTAAAAATTCCGCTCTTCTCTCCTTTAGTCTCATCTTCTTGTCCTCTAATTGTTTGTTTACGATATGAAAATCTTGTTCCAATTGTGTCTTTTGCTGAAAGAGCCACTGCAGATGCGTCTCCATTTCCTGTGTCTTTTCCAAGTGTTTATCTTTAATAGCCTGTTCTAGACACTGATACTTCTTGTCTGACTTTTGAATCCGAGTAAAAGCAAGTTCCACTTGGTTTGACGCTGCCTCCAGTTTCGATTCCGTCTCCACGTCCGCACGTCCAGAAAAACAATTTAAATTCATGGTTATTTATTTTTTGGAATGAAACTGAATGGAAAAAGTAAAATATAATCGCTTTAAAGAGGTTTAGCTAAGAAAGATAACACTACAATATATATTGTTTGGTATATATATTGTACATTTTGATACATATTGTCAAACTTTGCTTAAAAAAGTCAAGGAACAACTTTTTTCGGTCCTTCTCATGTGGCTATCGTTGAGATGATATGTTTACTACCTCATACTAACCCCAGCATTATGCAATTGCCCCAATAATACGCTCCAGCAACAGTCGATATCCGTTTTGCAAGAGAAACTGTTGAAATGGTCCACCCTCAATAGCTTTAAAAAGCTTTAGCTGCACTGGAACAATGACATCAGTCCGCGGATACTCTTCGTAGCTGTCGTTGTTCAATGCCACACTGAGACGACGATTACTCTGCTCTGATTGATAGCATTGCCATAGCTTGTTCAGCTCATCGGCATGTACAATATTCAGCAGCTGAATTGCACGGATGATAGCCTTCAAATGATTCCACTCGTCTTGCACTGTCCGTCGATTCCCCATACTTGTACTACTTACAAGTCTGTTCTCACGGGCAATACAGCTCCGTCGGAACAGCTCACACTCGATCCATGTGTCCAACAAACTCTGGTATTGGGTCGTAAAAACAAAATCGCGAAAAAGCTTCAAGGAATCTTCGCGAGAAAGCACACGCTCCAGTAAAGAAGGCTCTGTCATTGTTGGCAATGGCTCCTGCTCGCTTCGGTTTACAGCCTGCATTCACCATTTGATTGTTACATATTCGTACAGGAAATCAAATCTGCACATGTACTTACGTCTTCCGTAATCCAAATCTCAGCTTCATACAGACGGTGATTTTCTGAGCACAAACCAATCTGAATGTGCAGCGCATGAATCCAAGCCACCATCTCGTCCTTATTACTGGCACAGAGCTAAATAATGCCCAGTCATCACACACATTAGCACTAACGTCGAAGAGCAAAGACCATCTGTCAAACAAAACACTAAACATTACCTCATAATCCCGTCGAGGTGTCTTGAGCTGGAATGAGAAAGGTACGCGCTGAGCAAATTCAAAAGGACGGTTGTACACCAAGTTATAACGATGGAAGAAGGCCTCGAAAACGATGAGCGACAACGTACTACTTCTGGCTTTGCCTTAGCGAGAACTGCACCCAGTAAACTAATTGATGTCACATCCTGTTGGTTCACGTTCGACTTGCAGTAAAGCAGTTGGTCTCCCTTGATGATAAACCACCGCTTTCTCCACAGCTTCGAATCACTAGAGCTTGCTTTCTGAAGGTAGCCTGAGTATACACCCTACAAAGCAAAACGAGCCCATTGGTCAAAAGAAACCTTCCCATACAAGTCACTCCACTACAAGCATAACACACCTTTCCTAATAGAACCGGGAAATTAATCGACTGTGTGTCAGATGCTTGACGTCTTGATGGTGCAGGACTTTCATTAATATCCAGATGAGAACCTTGAACATCCTACTCATGGAAAAAAATACACGATAATACAATGTTCAATCAAACTGGCCACAAGATAGTACAAGTGCTTGCACTCAAAGCCATAGCTTTTTACCTTGAGAACAAATTTGACCGGTGGTCTCGAACGATGTTTCGGTTTAGTGCACGTAGTGCCACCAATTGTATCATCAGCTTCAACTGTCTGTACCGGTCGGGCACGATTCAATTTCTCCACCAATGGTAAAATGAGCTCTTCATCCCTCAACGTCCTCGCCGATAATGATCCAGCAACATCCGTTGGAAAGACAACTACAATAGCGTAATTGTTGAAATCCTGCATTGAAATCTTGATTTTTGCTGCCATAGACTTGCGTACTTCAAGTACCGTTGTCGTACTGAGTAACTTGAATACTGTCGATGATGTAAAGTTTGTATTTTCAAAGTAAATCCTGGCAAAACCTGTCCGTTTAACTTTTTCGGATTCTGCCTTTGATGCTCGCATCATTGCTGCAGCACTAGTCGAGTGAGAACCAATGTTTTTCTTCCGTTCTTTTGCTGCTTGTATCACACTTTGAGAACTATTGTAACGTCTCATTGGAACTGATAAATGGTGATTATTACGTCCTCGTGAAGATAATGTCAATACATTTGAAGCTGATTGGACTGTCTGTACACGTGCAATAGTATACTCTTCTTCTTCAATAGATAATGGAGCTATGGAACTCTTGATCTCGTCTTCTATGTCATGGTACCGTGTGCCATCACCCAAGTCCATATATGTGCTACTAGAGATTGAAGTACTGGTGGAACGTGTCATACGTTTATCGAATGAATCAATATCGTTAGAAATAACGTCACAAGTGGTAGTAAAATCCGAAACTTTCTGCTTTTTTTCTTCTGTAAGCGCCAAGCACGAGTCCATTATAAAAAATTGACAAATGGTGTGTCTTGTATGGAGAAATGTATGGATGACAAATTGTAGCGTCGTCTCAGGCCAAGTTGAGAAGAAAAGGATTGGTGGAAATACAAGGATTAGAAGGATAATGATTGGTGGAAAAGGAAGCAAGTCGCGGTATGGGAGTGTATCCTTGACCCTTATGCTCTTGTAATATTGATGATATTTGAAAAAAAAGTATTGCAATGCAGCGACAGATATATGTTCAAAAATAACACATTGGACAGATTTTTAGAAATAAGTACTTGTCGTTAGTGCGTGCAGTTTCATTTCTATTTCTACTGACTCGTTACCATGGTACGATCGGATACTTAATGACTGCAGACTCGATTGACGTTCTTACAAAAGGAAAATATCATCTTTGGGCTGCTGGTAGATAGTCGTTTGCTTACCAGGTACATCCAGTACTTCATTAATCTGATCCGTACATTGTTTGTAAGCCTCACTTGACGTCCACGCATTGTAGTCCTGAAGTGATTTCCACTGCAACAACAAGAAACCACCATCTCATTAGTATAGCACTGCACCCATTGTCCAGTAATGAGCTCACTTCTGATAGCATCACGTATTTATGGTGATTATTCACATCACTTAGTGATTCCAATGAGATCAGTCCAGGTTGCGCCCGTACCACCTTTTGCACCTATTGCATCATCAAAAAGATAGTAAAGAAACTAGCATTCAAGATATCCTCTCCCCTCCCCTCTCCCCTCTCTTCAAGATTAAGATTGTCTTACATTTTCCATTAAACGCACGACTGTAGGCTCAAAGCCACGGCTCATAATGCGTTCACTTAGCACACGCACAGGTTTCGTCAGCATAATAAATACTTCGAATAGATCACGGTCTTTAAACGGCGTTATAAGTACAATAACTTGAAAAAGTAGGTCAGAGGCTACCTGCATAGTGAAATAAAGATGCAAGGCTAATGGCGTAATTTTCCGTCGTGTAGCCATCATACCCAAACCACGCATGGGCAGGTCCAGCTATTGTATGCTAATGTCCTCGGCAGCATTGGAACTTGTGGCAAACTGTTATCGAGTGCAAAGACTTTTTTTAATGTCATGCGATTGCAATGGTCATGAAGAATGAAAAGAAAACTTAGCTATCAAGTGTTGACAAGGCTTGGAACGGAGTTGAATTCGATAGAGAGAATCCTACGGACAGCGCTGATACTATGTCATTCCTAATGGAAGTAGCAACTTTATCTGATACAAGCCCTTCCACGCCTTCGTCTAGCGGATACATGACAACTTCGTCCTCACGTTCATCTAATTTGTCGTCGTCAGATTCACTGAAAGAATGGTTCACCAGTAAAATTAGAGATCACGAAACGCAGCTTGTCGTCAGTGCTAATAGCTCCGCCATGACAACGGGTGCGTCGTACCGGGTGTGCAATGGTCTACCGGCGCTAATTACTCGCTCCAACATTGAGTCCCCGAATGGCGGTTGCCCAGACGAGCTTACGGCACTCAACGAGTCCTGTACATGCCTTACAGGATATAATGCGACTGCATCCTCTTGGGCTTTCCACGTCACTACCGAGTCGCAGAACTTTTCCACAAGCGCAACGAGGCGGTTGCTGACGACATCATCTTCAAATGAGCTGGTGATCAACACCATCCGTTCACTCGAGCGGTTTGGAATTCCTGTACATTCAGGGCAATGACATCAACGACTTCAACGTGAGTCAAGACCAGTTTGAACAAATCCAAGCTCTTACAGCGCTCAAGGTGGATACACCATCTTTTTTATCAACTTGTCAAGGTGGCGCGTGGCAGTCAGCACACGGTACTGCTTTTTGCGTCCTCAGCGCGTCCATGGCCGCAGCGCCCGATCCACCTCAGTCATCGGGATCAACCGGCGACGGCGACAATAACGGTCTCGGACTGCTGGCTTACTGGATCATCGCGGGTGCTATCACCGTATTTTTTGTGCTTCTGTTGGTGACCTGGCAGCGTCGTCGCTACAGCCGCGAAAGCGACATTAGCTCAATCGTATCGTCGGAGACCACTGAACCAGTAACACCGCAGTACAACGTCAACCACGCTTTCGGCGACGCACTCAACCATGACAACGTCATTGCCGCTGTTGGTACTGCTCGTACTGTTGTTGCTGCTCAGGCATATCTCGGATACGGTCGGTCTCACGGCAACAGCGTCGATAGTGATGACTCCACAGCTATGAGCGTGACGTTAGCTACCGACAAAGTTTTGGCATCGTGCCGACTGGATTACGGTGAGCTGATACTAGGTTGCTGTGTTAGTCGTGGAGGCTTCGGTCTTGTCTTCGTGGGCAGTTATCGAGGGCGGCAGGTGGCAGTCAAAAAAATTCGCAATGAGCGTGATGTCGGTCGCGAACAAGTAGAGCAATGCGTGCGCGAGAACCCGCTCGTTTCTGGTCTGAGCCATCCGCGCATCGTAGAGTTCATTGGTGCGTGCTAGACGATACCCGCTGAGCTATCGGCGGTGACAGAATTGATGGAGCGTGGCGACCTGCGTGATGTCACTAGACGGTTCAAGCGTCGTGGCTACCGCCTCTCATGGGAGTCCCACAAAACAGATATCGCGTTGCACATCGCCGAAGCCCTGACTTATCTACACGGATTAACCCCGACAGTGATTCATCGCGACCTGAAAGCCAAAAACGTGATGCTGAACGCCGACATGGAAGCCAAGCTTAGTGACTTTGGCATTGCGCGTGAACGTAGCGCGTACGATGGCAGTGAGCACATGACGGTGGGCATCGGCACGTCATTCTGGATTGCACCGGAGGTGCTGCTTGGTCACGACTACGACGAGCGTGCTGACATCTATTCGTTCGGTGTCGTGTTATCTGAAATTGACACGGATGATTACCCGTACTGGAATGCCCAGCATCCGCCGCAGGGCAAGGCACAAGAGAATGAGATCCTCCGTCTTGTGGCTCGTGGTACCAAGCGCCCTGCATTCTCGGACGATTGTCCCGCCTGCAATCTTGGAGTTGGCTGCACGTTGTCTCCGTACTGAACCTGAAGAGCGTCCTAGCGCCTTTGAAATTGTACTGTACCTGCAGCAGCTTGCCCGAGATCGCCACTCAAGCGCATCATTTTCGTCGATGGTTCGAGCTGAAACTGCGTTTAGCGGTATAAACACCAGTGCACCTGCAGTCACCGCTCCGGCAGATACTATCGTGAACCTCCGCTTCACCGTTCAAACCATACAGAAAACCCAAGAGATGGCTTCCTCTTTGGCTGCCGTAGCACATGCCTCAGGAAAGCGCTCATCAACGACGACAAAGAATGTTTCATCAAGCGTTACAACCATTTCGCGCAGCACTGCGGTCAAAGCGCTTGCCCCAGGACGCGAAGTGGAAGTGTTTTCACGTCAAGTGACCCAACCGGTGGCTTGTACAAAACTTTCTGCTCACGGAAAGAAACTCAGGCGAAATGGTCCAGGAAATACCAGTAGCATCTCCGAGCACGCTACAATCACGGGCAGCATCGAGAATGTACGATTGAATCAAAGTTACGTCGGTGCAAGACGCTTGTCACCTGACAGCCAGGAGGCGAAGCTGGTGACAACATCAACCCGACCAATCTATCCAAACTTGTCATCAAAGCCTACAAAGCCTGTAATCTTGAAATTAGGGAAGAATGGCTTTGTGTGGAGGTTCGAGCACCAATTCCAGGCACTCGCTCGTAAGTCGTCCATCAATGCATGATCCAGCCTCGAAAAAAATTGTCCGCTCCGCTGTCGTCGAAAGCTTGGCGAAAGAAGTTTGCCAGAATAGTGTGCTTCAGCGTGCGAGCCCCACCGAACGTGGTGTCTACATATCCTCGAATCTTTGGATACTCACACATGGACTCAATACTATCGATAGCCTTGACGATTGGACGCAGAATATGCCCTACCTGGGTGTACTTGTCGATGAACATGAGCGCGTTGGGACATTCTTGTCTCCAAAACGGATGACACTTGAGCCCACCCACGAGTCTAAACTGCGCATGGTAGAGTGAAGAATAACGTGCATGGCACGAGAAATACGAGGCGCAGACTGGATGCGGTGCAGACTCTGACCGGTATCCATCAGCTCGTACCGTGTGCCATCGGTGAGTAGGTCCTCATCAGTAGGCGGAACATGTTATGCGCGATCTCGCGCCAGAGCGTCAGAAACTGAAGCACATAGTTGTACTGCCGATCGTGCGAATGGGACAATCGTGCACCGTCATTTCCGCTAATGATGGCCAAAGAACTATCTCCATCCTCGTCGTCTGGGTTGAAATTCGTAACGAGAAACGTAATCATGCGATCGATCGGGTCGCGCTCGAAGTACAGATGGTAATTGTTATCTGCGATCGAGTACAGACACTGCTGGAGACAGTCACGTGAGAAACGTCGGCTTTCATACTTGTCGCTCAAAGCTTGAATAGCCTGCTCCTTCTGCTTTATCTGGCGCTGAATCTGAGAGCGTGACTTACCCTCAGGAGCAACCACCCTCGTCGCAGTCTGAATGCGAGAATCGCGTAACATATCCAAAGCACCACCAGCTTCCGCCACATCGTGCACAGTGCGAATTTTCTGCAGGCAAGAGAATCCTAACAATTCCTGCAACTCCGGACTTACAGCGTCCTGCAACAAGAACATGAGCTTGCCGTACTCACCGCGCATTTCTCTGGGTTCATAATCTTGTATCGTCTACCCAGTTCAAACATCTCCTGAAGAAAGAACTCGGCACAGTCGGCAAATTTCTTTTCGTCAAGAATCTCTTCTCCAGCCTTGTAGTCCGACGCCACCGCTAACGCCGACAGGAATCCACATACATCTTGCAGCTGTGCACGCACGCGCTTGGCCGCCGGCAGGAACTTGGGCGTGTCCGGCTTGTCCGTATAGCTAAGCTACTCACATACAACGCTGCCTCCAGGCCACGCAGTAATTTACGTTCTTCGTATGTGAGTCACAGAGGAATATACTTGGCTCGCTCCAGCATCTCAGCAGCAGCTTGAGCATTTGCAGCATTAACATTACCATTGGTAAGTCTTACTGGACTGTCTGGCGACGGGTAATCTAACAGATAATGGCCCATCAAGTCACAAATGTTACGGCGTGGTGCAGGTTCATTGGATTCAGAATCATCTGAAGCTGAGTCAAGATCAACCGTGCCATGCACCGCAATGAAGATGTCCTCTTCACTGCTGCTTTTGTCTCCATTCAGCTCATCCTCGTCACCCTATTAACCAACAAAACCCACACCATAAACAGCAAAGAAGCACAGAAAGACACACACAGACCATGTTCTCTGTCTTCTCAGTCTAAACAAAGAAATGTTTGTGTGAAGCAATCGTCATCGGTTAGGCACTACCTTTACGGATATTGTCAAATGCATGAGCGAAGAACACGTCGCGGAGTCAAACGACGCTGATGGCTTCAATATTTCTTGTACACAATGCTGGCGAGATGATAACTATCAGCCTCAGCCTACACGTACTCACTTGTAGTCCACGCGATCTTTCTAAGTATTTCCCGTCACAGCTAAACACCGTTGAGAGCGCCAAATATGCGTTGCTTTGAATGAAGGGTGAGCCTTGCATCTGAACTAGTATCGCTCTTAGCGCTGCAATGTATTAGTTCGGCTCGGCAGGTCCTATTTATAGCAGGTCTGTAGAACAAATGTCCCGTAATGCAATTCTAAGCTATTCCCTTTGTCAATCCTTCTGAATGAGGTACAACAGACTTTTAAATGTTAGCAACGACTTGTGACAACGAAACCATGTTACACCTCAAAGCAGTCGACATGCCAACAATATGGCTACTCGATAGGTATTTTATTCATTAAATCCAAGTATATCCTCTAATACCTTCTTTTCTTCTTTCAAATGCTACTTCTTCAGCCATATTAATTTCGGAATAATGGCGAGAAGGATCTAACCTCAGGTTGATTTCATTAAGAGCATTCGTAACTTTTTTTACATACATATAAGCCCAACGATGTTCCTTGACCTTTTCTAACTCTTCATCGACATTAAAATCCTTCTTTATGATCTCTGCTGTTCTCTTTTCTACGACATCTTTCTCGAGATCCTCAACAAATTTTAAGCTCTTCTTTTCATTAAACCATTCCTTCACCAGAATTTCATCCATCTCACTATTGCTTTCGTTGGTATCAATCCATTTCATGATGTCTTTGTCCGTAAACTTTCTTCTTAAAGCCCAAAGTAAGTTTAGAAAGCCACCGTGTTGGGGCGTCTATTGTATATGGCCATCTTTCCTAGCCACTCTTCAATGCGAATTTCTGAGAGTTCATCCAAAGCCTTGTTTTTCGTAATCGCATCCCAGTCTTTCTTGAGCTTGACATAATCGGCTGCCTCTTTCGATTGTGAAATTAAAGAGACAATAGATCTAAAGGGATTCACCCTCTCTTCACCATCGACGTCCGCTGAAGTCTCCGATCTTAAGAGTCTTCTTGTAGATGCGTTGCTTCCCTGAATCGACTTCACATGGGTAGCAGCCGAGATGTCAGTGTCCGCGAGGGCGATGGCTGCAGCAAGCAATTTAATGCATTGAAGACGCATCACTCTGTAGTTTGTAGGTCGAACTTACGCACTTTTGGATGAAAAAAGAAATGAGCATTGGTTTACGGACAGGAGAAATGGTCCAGCGATATCTGGAGATCCAATCCCAAGACAAACGTCTGGTCTATGTGCAAAGTAATAACAGGCAAGCTGGGAAGAACTCACATCCGACAAAGGCCGTTGGGAAAGGGGCGCTTTGCGTGCGCAACAAATCGATGCAGAGACGTGCGCAGAGATGCAGAGAGTGAGTTTACGAGAGATGGTGGCACGGCCGTGGATCGGACAGCCGGTGATAAGTCGCCTTCATCACTATGCATGGTAGTATCCGAAACCTTCGTAAGCGGCTGAAGAAAAGAAGGCTTGACACGATTGTAACGAAGAAGCAGATGCATAACCAGCAAGATTTTATTTTAACAAAAGCAATCTCGCGAAGTGGCTTGCCAGTAGGTTTAAAACAGCTCCCTCATGCAAGCGATGGAATGAAAGAAGACGGTGCGCACCCGCAACTTCAATTCTCCTTGAACTTGCGTAGGCGCGTATTCAAGATGGGACGGACACTCGCCTCGACGAACCAATCATAAAGCGCCAAGTCAGGTACGTCAGTAGATTGCCGCTGCAAATTGACGAAATTCAGCTCATCATGACTGGAATATTTGTGAATCGTATTGACCGTGTCACAAATGGAATTTTGGGCCGCGCCCAATTGACGAAGCGCGTTTGTCGGACATACAGTTGAGTAGAATAATGTGGTTTAGATTCGGTTAAATCTCGAAGATGTGCACGGGACTGACGCCAGATAGCCGGATTACGACTACTATCCGCCGCAAATATATTAACAATTTCAAGCGTCCATAGGATGGGCTTTTCATTTGACGACATGTTTGAGCAGTAAAGAAGCTCGCAAGCACTCCCTTCTCTATACAGATACCTAGTCTTTATTAGAGGGCTCATGGTACAGATGATCCTCTCCGTAGTCGCTTACACAGTCAAAACATAAACAATCCACAAACGATCGGTGACACATGTATAAACAACACGTAATTACTCTATGGAAGTGACGAAAAAAAATGTCCGAGTTATATATATTTGATACTATAGTGGTTGTCATTTTTCCGGCTACGTCCTATCTTTTTGGTAACCAATCAACCGTTCCACAATTATGAAATCTGATTGGTTAGAATGTTAGCATACAAGAGTTGAAATAATGAACCCAATTTGAAATTGTTACTCTTACACTTTGTAAGATGTCTCTATTATCTTCATGTTTGTATACTCCATTCCAGTCTCTTGGTGTCCAAACACCAAGTAAAAGGGGGAAAGAATGATGCTTTTGCCGGTAAGTTTTCCTCTCGTCCCCCGTCTGCCCTGGCGTTCCACGTCCTCTCATGTCTCTCTTTCTTTTGCAGGTCTTTGAACGCTTTGCTGAGCTTGGATGGCAGCCATTCGTCGATCCTGCTGAGACTTTTGAGTTCTTTTCCGTCTCTGGCGTCTTTCATCGTGCTAATGTGGATATTTCATTGCATACAGGACAATCTAATGCTCATATTCTCGTGCAACGAAGCGCTCTTTTTGACGTGTGTTTTCAGAGTGGTCTTGCGCATCTGGTAGTGGCTTATATTCGTGCTGAGGAGCCACACTTGCAGCCTGAAGAGGCTTTTACTGGTGTGAAAAATTACGTATTAAAGGAACCAATTGCAGTCCAGCAATGGGCACGTCAGCGTCTCGATTTTATTGAGCACAAGGTGGACGAGATGGTAAATGAGCAACAGTGTAGTGGCCGTGAGACGCCAAAGACGGAAATTGTGGACGAGGAACTGCGACATTTGAATGGATTGCGCATGATTTTGATTGCACTTACAGAGAGACTAAAAGAAGGTTCTTGTCAGGCTGCGTGCTGCTTTAATAACGCGGATGCAGAGGACAATATGGTGGATAAGACGGAGCTCGTTCGATTGACGACTGCAGGTATTCAGAACTTGTTGCAATTACTTTCTCGCACTCAGAGTGCAGCCTGTGCTTGCAACTGCATGTTATGGCTCAATGAGAACGAAGTGACGGCTAATAACGAGATGTATGACGCATTTTACAGCAAAGCGAGATCGTTGCGCGTTACATACCGTGAACAGTTTGAGGAAATTTATGGCAGCAAACTATCCTCGGTTAGTGAACTGAAAAAATGATGACGACACACACCTGATAATGGGGTAAATAGCACGAGGACCACGACAACTCTTTCGGGTGCCACGACTGTGACGTCCAAGACAGATTCCGAGTCAAACAGGTCTGTTAGTAACTCTACACTCTCACAATTGACCAATGCTGGAGGAAGCTCTGCTGCTCCCTCCCATAGGACGTCAAGTGCAGCCGCTCCTTTAGTATTAACCAGCACCCTCGTCAGCCGAAGAAACGAATGAAGGAACTTCGGCAAGTTCCACGAATACGGGTAGCACCGCGACGACCAGCTCAATATCAACGCGTGGAACAGAGACAAATAGAGAGACATCCGCCGGCACGGGATCGACGAGCAGTTACTCGAGCAATCTCGATCTTGCTACACCCGGGACCTCGACTACTACCAGTACGACAGCGTCCACCACCTCGTCGAACGGGTCAAATGGGTCTGCTACGAGCACTGATAACACCAAAGCAAGCAGTACTGTCACCGAAAGCTTGGCCACCTCGACGGCAACTTTATCTGATACAAGCCCTGCTACGCCTTCGTCTAGCGGATACATGACAACTTCGTCCTCGCGTTCATCTAATTTGTCGTCGTCAGATTCACTGAAAGAATGGTTCACCAGTAAAATTAGAGATCACGAAACGCAGCTTGTCGTCAGTGCTAATAGCTCCGCCATGACAACGGGTGCGTCGTACCGGGTGTGCAATGGTCTATCGGCGCTAATTACTCGCTCCAACATTGAGTCCCCGAATGGCGGTTGCCCAGACGAGCTTACGGCACTCAACGAGTCCTGTACATGCCTTACAGGGTATAGTGCGACTGCATCCTCTTAAGCTTTCCACGTCACTACCGAGTCGCAGAACTTTTCCACAAGCGCAACGAGGCGGTCGCTGACGAAATCATCTTCAAATGAGCTGGCGATCAACACCATCCGTCCAATTTGGGTGCCATCAAGTCTGAAGACGCTGGAGATTGTAAGTACTGACGATTCTCCGGCTGAAATCACTTTTATCGATGAAAACCGTGAGGCCTCAAATTTTTCATTGACCCTTGTGCGGTCGGTGAACAATTCCACACAGATCTCCACGCTTTCACTCATTAAACTAGATTTGAACGCTGTGGCGGCGGCGACGAAGTCAGACTTCGTGCCAGTCACAGTAACGAATCTGACGTTGCGCAATTGCAACATTTCGACGCTCGGTAGCAGGTTTACGCGTACCTGGGGCGGGCTCCAGTATCTCGATCTGTCTTCAAACAACCTCGACACTGAGTTCGTAGGTGGAGCTAATCTCAAGGAACTCAACCTGTCACACAACGCACTTTCGGTTTTACCCTTCGAATCCCTCAGCTCGAGCGGTTTGGAAGTCCTGTACATTCAGGGCAATGACATCAACGACTTCAACGTGAGTCAAGACGAGTTTGAACAAATCCAAGCTCTTACAGCGCTCAAGGTGGATACACCATCTTTTTTATCAACTTGTCAAGGTGGCGCGTGGCAGTCAGCACACGGTACTGCTTTTTGCGTCCTCAGCGCGTCCATGGCCGCAGCGCTCGATCCACCTCAGTCATTGGGATCAACCGGCGACGGCGACAATAACGGTCTCGGACTGCTGGCTTACTGGATCATCGCGGGTGCTATCACCGTATTTTTTGTGCTTCTGTTGGTGACCTGGCAGCGTCGTCGCTACAGCCGCGAAAGCGACATTAGCTCAATCGTATCGCCGGAGACCACTGAACCAGTAACACCGCAGTACAACGTCAACCACGCTTTCGGCGACGCACTCAACCATGACAACGTCATTGCCGCTGTTGGTACTGCTCGTACTGTTGTTGCTGCTCAGGCATATCCCGGATACGGACGGTCTCACGGCAACAGCGTCGATAGTGATGACTCCACAGCTATGAGCGTGACGCTAGCTACCGACAAAGTTTTGGCATCGTGCCGACTGGATTACGGTGAGCTGATACTAGGTTGCTGTGTTAGTCGTGGAGGCTTCGGTCTTGTCTTCGTGGGCAGTTATCGAGGGCGGCAGGTGGCAGTCAAAAAAATGTGCAATGAGCGCGATGTCGGTCGCGAACAAGTAGAGCAATGCGTGCGCGAGATCTCGCTCATTTCTGGTCTGAGCCATCCGCGCATCGTAGAGTTTATTGGTGCGTGCTGGACGATACCCGCTGAGCTATCGGCGGTGACAGAATTGATGGAGCGTGGCGACCTGCGTGATGTCACTAGACGGTTTAAGCGTCGTGGCTACCGCCTCTCATGGGAGTCCCACAAAACAGATATCGCGTTGCACATCGCCGAAGCCCTGACTTCTCTGCACGGATTAACCCCGACAGTGATTCATCGCGACCTGAAAGCCAAAAACGTGATGCTGAACACCGACATGGAAGCCAAGCTTAGTGACTTTGGCATTGCGCGTGAATGTAGCGCGTACGATGGCAGTGAGCACATGACGGTGGGCATCGGCACGTCATTCTGGATTGCACCGGAGGTGCTGCTTGGTCACGACTACGACGAGCGTGCTGACATCTATTCGTTCGGTGTCGTGTTATCTGAAATTGACACGGATGATTACCCGTACTGGAATGCCCAGCATCCGCCGCAGGGCAAGGCACAAGAGAATGAGATCCTCCGTCTTGTGGCTCGTGGTACCAAGCGCCCTGCATTCTCGGACGATTGTCCGCCTGCAATCTTGGAGTTGGCTGCACGTTGTCTCCGTACTGACCCTGATGAGCGTCCTAGCGCTTTTGAAATTGTACTGTACCTGCAGCAGCTTGCCCGAGATCGCCACTCAAGCGCATCATTTTCGTCGATGGTTCGAGCTGAAACTGCGTTTAGCGGTATAAACACCAGTGCACCTGCAGTCACCACTCCGGCAGATACTATCGTGAACCTCCGCTCCACCGTTCAAACCATACAGAAAACCCAAGAAATGGCTTCCTCTTTGGCTACCGTAACACATGCCCCAGGAAAGCGTTCGACAACGACGACAAAGAATGTTTCATCAAACGTTACAACCATTTCGCGCAGCACTGCGGTCAAAGCGCTTGCCCCAGGACGCGAAGTGGAAGTGTTTTCACGTCAAGTGACCCAACCGGTGGCTTGTACAAAACTTTCTGCTCACGGAAAGAAACTCAGGCGAAATGGTCCAGGAAATACCAGTAGCATCTCCGAGCACGCTACAATCACGGGCAGCATCGAGAATGTACGATTGAATCAAAGTTACGTCGGTGCAAGACGCTTTTCACCTGGCAGCCAGGAGGCGAAGCTGGTGACAACATCAACCCGACCAATCTATCCAAACTTGTCATCAAAGCCTACAAAGCCTGTAATCTTGAAATTAGGGAAGAATGGCTTTGTGTGGAGGTTCGAGCACCAATTCCAGGCGCTCGCTCGTAAGTCGTCCATCAATGCATGATCCAGCCTCGAAAAAATTGTCCGCTCCGCTGCCGTCGAAAGCTTGGCGAAAGAAGTCTGCCAGAATAGTGTGTTTCAGCGTGCGAGCCCCACCGAACGTGGTATCTACATATCCTCGAATCTTTGGAGACCCACACATGGACTCAATACTATCGATAGCCTTGACGATTGGACGCAGAATATGCCCCACCTGGGTGTACTTGTCGATAAACATGAGCGCGTTGGGACATTCTTGTCTCCAAAACGGATGACACTTGAGCCCACCCACGAGTCTAAATTGCGCATAGTAGAGGGAAGAATAACGTGCATGGCACGAGAAACACGAGGCGCAGGCTGGATGCAGTGCAGACCCTGACCGGTATCCATCAGCTCGTACCGTGTGCCATCGGTGAGTAGGTCCTCGTCAGTCAGACACCACAGCGAAACATGTCATGCGCGATCTCGCGCCAGAGCGTCAGATACTGACGCACATACTTGTATTGCCGATCCAGCCTCAGGCATGAGTGCATTATGCAAACATCCGTATTTCCTGTCATTCAGAAGGAATGGGTAAGGCACAGTCGAGTTCACATCGTCACTTATTTCCATCCCGAGCTTGAGTGTGAGCTGCCCATTGATCTTCTTGCTGAGGCGTCTGAAGTCGACGATAGCGAGTTTCGAGTCATAGAAGGACGGCGCATATCGCTACCTGTCTTTGATATCGCCGCAGCTGCTCCGGTAGGAGTTCGTGATGACGTCGTTGATGGAGTCGAAGTTGTCCGATGCAGAGTTTGTTTAAGCTTGCCTATTGTCGACGGTACTGAAGAACGGGAAGATGTTAAAGGTTTTGACGACCCCGCCGCTTTCGCAGGTCGCGGCTTAGATACACGACTGGCTGAAGTACTCTGTGTAGCAGAAGCTGGAGTCGCCGGTGAGTCTGCTGGCCGCGTCCTGAAAGGAGGATGTAAAGGCATTCGGCTATCTGATGTTGAAGCTTCTTCCGCCCACATAGATCGAGGTGTTGCCAATCCCGACATCGAGCGATTCTGAAGTGTTGACAACGATTCACGCTGGTTGTCGTAGTCGACAATTTTGCTAGCACTGGTTGTTGAAAGCGACTTGCGACGTAGATCAGGATCTACACCTCCTCTGTCAAGGGAAGCGGCAGATAGCGACTTACGTCGTTCCTCGCGGTCAGTCGTCGATTTGGACCGTCGGAGTCGAGACACAGTCGGAGACAATGCAGGTGAACTTGGAGCACGAGTTGTTCCTGAAAGTCGTGATGGAGCCAGTACTGTAGACGGTAGTGAAAAAGGTTGCCGAGATGACGATGCTGACGACTGAGCAGATCGCGGCGGACGTATGGATCGTGCGGAGCGCGCCAAAGTCGTGGACGAAAGCCTTCGACTTGACTTTGCTGAAGTAGCAAAGCTTGGTGGTCGTGACGGCGACGCAGAACTATTGTCTGATGGGATACCATGATGATCCAGATCATTGGCCGCCTTGTCACCGCGCTGACGCTCACCAGGCAGCCGTAATTGCCTTTCGAATTTTTTTTTGCTACTTTGTGCTTTATGCAATTTTTCTCCTTGCTGCAAGCATTGTTGCTGCAGATCGTTTAGCTGGGTCTCCAATGCCAACGTTTTAGCTTCAAATGAACGATTCTCTTCCTGTAGTTTACAAAGTGCACCGCTTTCCACACTGGGTCGCACAGCGCCCATCTGCACCTGGCTCACACGAGCACCAAACTGTAAAGAGCAAGTCGTCTCTTCTACGTCAGCCGTATCCGGGCTCAGCTGTAGCATCAACAACGTCTTGGCTTGTCCTGATATCATGTCACGAAGCATGTAAGTAAGCTTCGAGTTTCGGTACGGCGTGTGCTTTGCCTTGTGCTGTAATGCATAAACCACATCCCCGAGAGCTGCAAGAGACTTGTTAATGTGTTGCGTTTCGCGCAAGCGATCCCCCTTCACTTGACTACGCGATATCCGTTCTGAACCAGCTAAATCAACCAAGCACAACGTACTCGTGCACACTTCCTGAGTCTCACGGTGTTTACTATCAAGATGCAGGAACACTAGTGCATGAGATCGACTACTTTCCAGATTCATCCTCGTAGATGCAATGTTTCGATTGGCATTTCCATCACGCATCACTGCATCTACTTGTCTGTAGTCACTGACGTCGCGTGCCGTAATCTCCGTTTCGTTCCTCGCGACCGTGTTTTTGCCGCCACCGGTGCTATCTTCATGCAACAAATCCAAAATTTGATCGTTGTAGATCTCCACCATGCTTACTCGAAGTGTATCCACGTACGTCATTCGCCGCATCTTTACCATGGCAAACACCTGTTGGAGAGCACGTGGAATCACGCCAGCATTGGAATGCAACGTGAGTTCATCAGCACGATGTTCCAGTGAGTTTTGTCCATACCCCATCATCGTGTGGGTCTTCCCTGATCCAGTTTGCCCGTACGCCATAATGCACGCATTATATCCATCCGTAAACGACACAATTAGCGGCTCAATTTGCGCATATACTTCCATCTGTGTACTCTGCGGTCCAAAGACCTGATCAAAGGCAAATTCTTTTCCAGAACTCGATACGAGCAAATTATTTGGTCGTGGTATCACTAAAGCCAGTGGTTTCGTCTCCTCTTCATTTTTCCTCCCTGGCCTCACACGACAAAACACTCGAATCTTCCCCGACAATTCATAATACTTTTCAGCCATTGCTTCTCGCTCTCTCTTCTCCACTAGATAATTCTGCTGTAACATTTGTTCTCGTCCATTGACATTTTCCACCACTAAAGCCATTGCATCGTCCAATGTCACCAACGTTGCATCACAATCATTCTTCACTTGTTGTTTTATCAATTGCAGTTCTTGTTTTAACGCTTTTATCTCGCGTAATGTCGTGACTGCCACCTGTTTCCACTTGACGACATCTCGACGTAAATGCAACGTCTGACATTTCAATACCTCCTTTTCCTGTACTTTGTGTTCCATATACACTGCCTGTTGCTTCATTTCTTCTATTTGTACTCGTAGAGCAGTATTTTCTTCCGTCAGTGTCATCTGTAGAGCTTTAGACCCTTCAAGCTTCGTGTACAGTCTTTTTTGGTCATACTCGAGCTCTAAAAGTCGACTTTGAAAGGCTGCAAGTGAACTAGAAGCTACAGTGTCACTTGGAGTCAATTCATTCGACGTCGTAGAGCGACAGGAGCTCAAACCATGACGTTTTGTCGTCTCCTGTTCCTTTAAAAGATGTGCAATTCGCTCCAGGAGCTCCTCAGGTGAAAATTCGTCATATTTTGAGACATGAATTGCCATCGTATCAAATTCAAGCTGAGACAAGACCAAGTTGACGTAATCATTCGTCCTTGGCTCTTTAAGAGGTACTTGGATGACGTTGCGACTAAAAAGGACGCGGCGTGTGGACATATGAGACTGTGATAACAGCAAATTTGTATCGTCTTGGGTGAAAAGATCATTTAGTGATGACGTAGATGAAGTTGAAGATGCGGGAGAGAGCGTGGGGGAGAGAAATAACAGCTCCGAAGCCGCGTCTACCGTCGATGGCATGAGGAAGTTACGAATATGATTGGATAAAAAAGATTATGCTGACGAAAGTGTTGTCTGTAGCCATTATGACCTTATGTGTAGCCATTTCAGACCGATCCATGGATAACATGGTAAAGTTTTCTGACAAGGTCCTCCATGACCAATAGCTCTTTGATAATTATATGTGGAAGCCGCCTACATTTCTATTAAACAAACAAATACATGCCGCCGGTATTTATCAAAGCTCATTTCATTTTGCCAATGGAAAGCGATCACCACATCTACTGCATATGGGCCACCCATCGTACCGGTCGTCCACTAACCGCTAGTTATCCCGGCTTATTCGTCAAATGTGGCCTACTTCCAAAGCTTGTTGATCGACATGTTCTGCTCCGAGTCTTTCTTCATGACCTTGGACACAGCCATTTCAAAATCTTCTTGAGTAACGTGGATCCGCCGTTCACGCAACGCAAACATGCCGGCTTCCGTACACACAGCTTTACACTCGGCACCCGAAGCAGTCGGCATCTTCTCGGCAATAATCTTCAGGTTAATGCCACGCAGGAGGTTCATCTTTCGCGAGTGGATGCGCATGATATCAATGCGCGACTGTACAAAACATATCATACATTAGTTTCCACTAGCAAGTCCACTAGCACAACATAATACGCACCCCTTCCGTCGGGTTTGGGAATTCAATCTTTCTGTCAATACGACCTGGACGCAGCAGCGCCGCATCTAGGATATCAATACGGTTTGTGGCCATTATGACCTTGATATTCTGGGCTGGCTCAAAACCGTCTAGCTGGTTCAGTAGCTCGAGCATAGTACGCTGCACCTCAGAGTCACCACCACCACCTTCCATACGCGAGCTACCGATGGAGTCAATTTCGTCCATAAAAATGATTGACGGTGACGCTTCACGAGCCATGACAAAAAGTTCCCGGACCATCCGTGATCCTTCACCAATGTACTTCTGGACCAGTTCAGCACCCGACACACGGATGAACGTGCAGTCCGTGTGGTGTGCCACTGCACGAGCGAGCAACGTCTTGCCTGTACCAGGTGGTCCATAGAGCAACACACCCTTGGGCTGGGCTACACCCAGAGCGTCAAAGAGCTCTGGATGCTTTATAGGAAGCTCAATGACTTCCTTGATCTCCCGAATCTGCTTGTCTAGACCACCAATCATATCGTACGTCGAGTCCGGCACCTTTTCCACTTTCATCAAGCTCACTAGTGGATCCACCTATTTACATAATAAATAGTAAATAAAAAATCCCCGTTACTTTGTTCCGTATCTTTTATACTTGATATCTTCTGTCAATGTACCTTAGTAGGCAAGATCTTGTGTAGCACATAGCTATCGTTCCTGAGTGCCACACGCGTATTGGGCGTGCACTTGGTAATATCAATGGTCTTGTCCACATCCACAACATATTTACCCTCTGGATTCACCTTAACCAGCACTTTTGACTTGCCCATTTGCTTGACTACTTCACCCACATACGATCCGGGTTCCTGAAGTAGTTGTAACTCTTCACGCAACAAGCGAACTTAATATAATAAAAAAAGTACATTAGCGTTTGACATAAATATCTCTATGATTATAAAAAAGGACCTAAAAAAAGAGTATTTTTACCTTTTGAATTGAGCTCGTTACGTTGCGCTTGTAGACGTCGCAAATTCTGCGTTTCATCACGCACCGTCAGTTCCAAGTGTTCAATCTTCTTCTCATAGTAACTCGTTAACCCCGTCGTATCATCCGCCACCGTCATTGCTACATCTGCCGTCATCTCGAAGAAAAAATCTACACTAAATCTTACTTTTCCCTTTTTGAGCGATCCAAAGTATCGTACTTAACGGCATGTCATGTGGTGCACCCAAATTAGGTATTTTGTTGATCGTTTTCAACGGGGACAAGACGACGTGACTAACTATTTTTTCAAAAATTAATTTTCTTGATAATAATGACGACACCAAAATTTATTGTGACGCAAAATCCTGCATGGGTGTTTATTCATGTGCATGTGCCTTTTGTGCGAGTCTCCGACATGGAATTTTACGTGGATCGGATGGATTTTTCCTTCTATTGTAAGCCGTATTTACTCAAGCTTCACTTTCCATATGAAGTAGTGGACAACGAATTGGCCAAAGCCGTTTATGACCCGAATAAGGTACAAAAATTAATTGATGTATTAGAATTTTATTTTTGCATTAATTATGGCTGATGCTATGATAATGGGGTTTGTGTGCTTAGGAAAATGGAACTATTGTAGTGCATTTGCTCAAGAAAGAGCCAGGTCAAGACTTTCCTGACCTTGATATGCTCACAAAATTGCTGCAGCCGCAACGACCGCCAGTGGATGTAAAGGCTGATGCACTTCAATGGTGCGTACTATTTTGCATGGAATTGGACCTGATTCAAGCACAACATTTACTTGTTTGTTCTCTTGGTTCCCAGCAAAGCACCACTCATCGAAGTATTGGAGTCGATGGGTTCTGAACCAATTGGGAGTTTTCAGGAAGAGTCCGATAGATTGGATACGCTGATAGGAAACAAAATGAATCAAAACAATGAGGAAACTTTGGCAGAACAGGTGCGGACGGATTCGTCGCTTCTTAGCCTTGAGAGCTCGAAACCTACACAAAGTGTCGGCTCGGTACAACTTGATGCTGAAAAAGAAGCGTCCGATTCGATAGATGTGCGTGTCACGGATCTCGCACCTTCGTACGGGTTTAACAATGCGTACAGCGACTTTTTTCGCGCTTGGCATGGCGAAGTGAGCGAGATTTTGTCTCTGCCTGACCCGGAGCACGTTCAGCCAGAACAGCGACGAATTCTTCGCGAAGCTGCTGAGGAACAACAGTTTGATATCGAACGCTACCTAATGGATTATGCTAACCAGGGAGATGACATGTACTTCAAATTAGCCATGGAGTATGTGCCTTTTTGGAGAAAATACCCCGTCCTTTTACTTCCTGCTGAGACCCCAAGAGAAGAAAAGGAAGGCCGGGTGCCAAAGCCTTCCACTGTTGAGATCGATTCAGATGTGAATGGTGTTGGAGAAAGTATTTACAACTTGTCACTTGACGTTACTTTACCTCGAGTGAGTTCAAAGTCATCGATCACATTTACGGATGCAGAGCAAGAACTGTTGCTGCGGCTTCCTCGAAAAGAATTCTTGCTTCCAGAAGATAGTCTGGAAGAAACGGTAGTGGTCGGTGGTTTGGTCGACATCCTCATTGGCTTTGCGTATGAACAGCTCACAACTCAGGGTGACAGTGGTGTCGAGTCGACATGGACAGTGAGTATCGTGAGTCCGACCCTGTCATGGCTGGATTCAAATGCTGATTTGCACGCTGTTGTGCGCTCAAGCGTACGTCGTATGATCACGTTTCCGTTCCTACGGCAGTACGACCTCGCCATGCGCTCAGTATGTGAAGCCAGCGAACTGCTGAAGCGTGGCAAACGTGTTGTTCTTCGAGCACTCCTAATGCTCCATCGAGTCATCGAAAAATCTGAAACTCAGTATCTGCTCAATGCTCTCTACATTCAAGACTACTGCGTATGGATCCAATCTATCGCTGATGAGCGTCTTCAACGCATCAGCATAGAACTGGATGCCCACATTGCTGCCTTTACAAAGAGCGAAACAGGTTGGGCATTGGAAGAGCTTGAACGCAGTCTCTTTGACGCCAATGACAATCACGATTCAAAGTCATCTTCTTCTTTCAATTCGGACTCGGATTTTTCCGAGGAATTTTCCAGTGAAGAAGAGTTTACATGTAATGACGGAATAGCGACGGAATAGAAGTTAATGCAAATGTAAAGGGAATTGTTAGGGAGACCGTAAGAGATAGCGCAGTTTATAAGCCTTGTACTGTCGCTATTCGAGAATGATAAACAACCATTATTGGCCAATCAGAAAGTTTGTGCTGTAACTAGCGTCATAGCAACGTGGCCATTGGATTCGTCCACCTCATGGCATTTCTTCCTTTTGATTAGTTTTGTTGACAATTCTTTGCTGCTGCGTAAAAAATGGCAATTAAAAAGTATGTTCGTCATTGTCCAATAACGAACAAGAGACACAAAACATGGAGACGAAATTCTTTGAGTCAATGATAGCTGCCTTTATGAACGCCCCACAAGTGGATGGTCGCAATGTGCGCGTGCCTGTGGACTTAAGCGTTGCTTCCAAGATGGCGCGTGCTCGAGTGCATGCGAAGCAAAACAATGGCTCCTATTGGGCCATTGTGCCTCAACTACCTGTTACTGCGTCACGCAGTTAATTTAACCTGTGATCATGAGTATCTAGATACCAAAAATGACAAGTTTTGGAGATGTCAATTGGTGCGTTCGGCCGTGGAACGATGCGAATGCCACCACGTTTCTTCAGTTGTTAGGTTTCGTGATACTTTAACCCAAAATGTCGTTATCGATTCCATTCGACGTCGTGTGTCAAGTTGTTATTAGCAAATTGTTTCATTCACTATGGCATGACCAATGAAGCCATGCAGAAAATGCAGCTGCAACCTCAGGTCACGCTTAGTCGGCAAGAACGGGATAGGTCGCGGCCGTCGCGACACCGCACACGTTGTTCTTTTGCGCAATCTTGATGTAACCAGACTCACCCCAGTGCGTGCTCCACGAGTTCTTGACCTGCTCGTAAAAATCGTAAACATCATCAGCGAGGATCTGGATGAACGTACTTGAAACATTCACACGCGTCCTTCCTTACCAGTGTATACTTCTGCCCGTTGTCCGTGGTCACTCCTACTGCAAGGACGGAGTGGTCAAGGCTGTCCAAGTCGCTCTTGCACGCAATGTCATCGTAGTATCCGCCACCGTAGAAGTAAAAAGACGGAAGTGCTGCGTCAATCGACACAGACAGCGGACCGATCGTAGCCAGCGCATCGTTAAGAGCTCCCACACTCGTAACGTTTACAAAGCCCTTCATCCGCCCAATGGCATTGTTAACGTTGAAGTGACAATAGTCAGGTGCGTTGCGATAGGATCCATACGTTGCAGTGGTTTCGAGTCCACCATTCGCCATGATCCATTCGTACGCCTGGTAGTCAAAACCTCCGTCGCACGCGTTGTTGCCATAGTCCCACCTGTCGTCATCAAGTTAAAACTTACTTTCACAGTGCACTGCAAGATTCTCTCAGATTGCGTGATAGTAACAGGCAACGTACGAGCAGTCAAGAAGATTCTGCTGGGACATATTATACAGCTTATTATGTTGAGCAAACAACGCTCCCTCCAACGCTCCAGTCGTGCTAAGCAGAATCAACTAAGTTGTAAGAATTCGACAGACAGAGACAATTACAATGCAGACGAACGTAAAACGCACCCGAATGTCCAGCAAGATCCGCAAGCGCCTTGGTCCTTCACGGGCGTCACAGCTCCCTTTTTCCGCCAATCCATGTCTCCTGGGTCTTCAAAGCTCGAAAATTTGTGTACATTCATAGCACCGTTGTCTTTGGCACGTTTGGCCCGCGACGGATGATGCAATTTTCGCCGCTCACCAAGAGTCAGGTCAGCAAACTGGTTTACCTGCAGATGGTACGAAAGCCCCTGTTGAAATCCAAAACCAGGTATAATCGTTCAGACCAATCCAAAAATGCTCTGAATACTTTGCCCATGTTGCTGTGCCATACCTTGCGGTTCTCAGCATTAATAAAGCGGAGGTTGTGGTGAAACGTCGTCATGCGTTTAATAGTCTCAGCTTCGTCCTCGTACATCTTTTTATGCTTTGCGGAAAAGTTATTGAAAACCTCTTTTTTTGTCGCAGTGCCTTCCGGCATGAGCATATGAATCTACAATCAAAGCAAAAAAAACGAGCAGCTTACATGTCACGACCAACAGCACACTATTATACAAAGATGTGGCAAAAAAAACTTCGTACATCTTGCTTGGGGCTGCGCGACGGGCCACCATGGGCGTCAAGCATCTCTGTGCAATTCATCAAAGCTGGTAGTGACGAAAACACGTCCTCGTCGACTGGTCCTTCGCGAACGTAAATGTAGTCCAAGTAGTACTCATCAATATGACTTCCACCTAGCATACCATTACGTCCAACGTAATGAAATCGCACAGGTCGCTCTGTTTTTTGATCCACATAGAGCGTATATTCTCCGAGTAAACCATCTGGTGTCGGTTCATGAAGTTTCGTGATAAACTTCCAGCTAAAGCACGGACGTCCTTCAACAAGAAAGATACCGTGTTGAGGCTCAAAGAGAGCCATGTTAGGAAAGACATGTTGCAATGATTCCGAGCCAGATTGAAAGCATTTGCGTTCACGAATAACCGGAATAATCTGGTAGCTCGTTCCACTGGTATTGTAAATGTACACGTCCGTGCCTCCATAGTAGCTCAATTTTTGAAGCCCTTTGACCTCGTCCACGTGGACGTACAGAGGCTCAACCATGTCCATATATGGCATATTAAACGTAATACTAGCTTCATATTGAATTGGAAACACTGGACGCTTAGTAGGTGCAAGGTGGTTTGCGTCTTCCACCGCACGCAAGATCGCTAAGACAGCGATAAACCCGAGGATGCCCGTGATTAATGCAAAGATAGCACAATAAATTCGACGTGATTTACTCCGTTGACGACAAATTGCCGTACTTTCCTGCTGCTCCAGATAATGATGTGTAGTATCTGAGCTTCGTGCTGATTGGTAGAAAATCAGATACAAGGTGAATCAAGGCGAAACAGACGATATAGGTGCGTAAAAGACATGAAAAGAACGACAAACGAGTGCATATTTACCAGGCAAGAGACTCTCGGATGCTGTATCGTTCATGTCGTCCATAGGGAGCGTCGTCTTTGATTTTTTCTTGCCCATATATCACTCACTCTTTCTTCTTGACTTGATTCTTGAATGTGAAGATCAAAGAGTTCAACATTTTGATTTTTAGCAAATCATAGCGAGATTTCATCTATGTATTCAATATGATTGGTGGAAAATAGGTCACTAGAACTACAATGAACCCGCTTCGAACTCTCTTGCGTCCGGCAGTGCGGCGCGTTGCGTCGACTCGCGTGGCAGCTCACAATATGAGCTCAAGTTCTTTGCGTTTCAACCAAAAGACGGCAAAACTATTGGATGAGAGCGTCATGGAGCATCTCGTGTGTCCAATTTCCAAGTATCCACTTCACTACGACACCGAACGCGGCAGTCTTGTGTGCGAGGAGATCCACGTCGAGTATCCGATTTGGCAGGGAATCCCACTGCTCGTGCCTTCAGAAGGACGGATTATTAATTCATGTAGCAGCGGTGACGATTCATGAAACAAGAGAGCGATTATATCTGTAGATAGAAGAATAGCTGCAGAAAAAGGGTTTGTTGGAGGATCCAGGCGCCAGGATGACGTAACATCTTGAGTAGTTCGTGTCCATTGTCTTGCTTGAAATGGGGTTGTTAAAGCTTTCAATGAGGCTCTGTATTACAATTCTGGAAGATTGTACGTCATCACGTGCAGGTCTCGCCATCACTATCGCTTTAGTTTTCTCCAGGGACAAAGCTGCAATCGGATTTAGTACTTTTGACGTGTTGACCGTCGAGGATTGCGACGCACGGGAGCGCTTGCTGGTTTCTTCCGCCGTCCTCTTGAGTGAGAAATTGGTGTACCCAACTCGTCTTCAATACTCTCTAGCTTCATCGTGCCTTCGAGTTCCTCTGTTGCGGGTGACATCGGATAATCTGAATCTGAGTGTGCTACTTCAAAACGGGAATCCGTTAACGGCTCGCGTACGAATTGATATCGCTTTGGAGTCTCCATGACAGCAGAAGAGTCTGTATCAGGGGGTGGTGTCGAGACCTCCTGCATCGTCCGATTCTCAGGTACATCAGTCACCACCGTTGCAAGACTCCGTGCTTCAGCTAGAGAGATATCATCCGTTGTGCTGTCATTATTTTTGCGTGGCTTCAGCGTGAAATCTAAAGACGAGCAAGCATTAGTACGACGTTATACGCTACCAGAATAGCAACAGCATTCATCCTACCACTTGTAGAGCCTGCCGCTTTCGAAGCGGACGGTGCCAACGATGTGTATGCAAAGGTAGAATTGATCTTGGTTCGGATTGGCGCTTTGCCAAGTGGACGACGATCTAGAGATACGATTTGATGTGCATCCGTGAGTACAATGGCACATACAAGGCGTCAACAGAACTCAGAACAATGGATAGCGTTTCTTACCGCCAAACGGGGACACGAGAGGCTGCAACGGTGTAGAGGGTGCACTAGAATGCATTGCCGGCGATTGACCAAAGTTCAGGGCTTGACGAGCCATACCACCTGACCCAGTGGAAGTAGTGACAATAGGGTTCAGCTTGGTGAGCGTGTGCAAAGGTGAGTTTTGACTCGAGCCGACGGGCTCTGCATAAGTATCATCTGCGCTCATTTTGTCCTTTCCTTTGCATTTCATCGGCGTTAGTGTCATCTTGTCGGTCACAAGAGGTGTAGGTGGTTCCGTGGACCGAGTTCGAACACTAAATCCTTGTCGAGACGAAAAAATACCTGGAGAGTAGTTAAGTTCACCTGTTTTCGCCATTCTTTGCAGCTCCATAAAGCTCGATTCCATCGGTGCCGGTGCCGGTACCGGTGTGTCGGAATTGAATATGTCTTCCATCTCTTCGTTCTCGAACAGCGCAGGCTTAGTAAAATCTCGACGCTGTCGACCTTCAATCCGTATCTTGGCATTCCTACTTCTTTGCGAGTTCGACTTTGAAGGAGGCTTAGGGCACATGTTAGAGAGCAACGCTGCACGGATGCGCAAGCTTGGCTGGTTCAACACAGCCCTCATAATCTCGGTATCGCCACCGCACATGGCTCCAATCATCGCCAGGTGTTCGTGATGAACATCCCAGGCTTGCTCGTTCTTGTTTCGGAGAATATAGTACATCACGAGGAAGTCTACACGCTTAATGTTGTCATCTCGGAGAACATCTTCATCCGTTATAACATTGCTTTCCATCATGTATGCGTGAAATAGCTTCTCTTCTGTAGGCAGTAGAGTCACACCGTGAACTAGCTCCTTAAGACGATGACTTTTCATCAACCAGTTGAATAGCAGATCTAGTAGGTCTGGGCGTTTCTGCCTGCGAATTAACGACAGTGCGCGCTCCCAAAATTCTAACTCCAACGATATGACCACAACCAACTCTGTTGCTGCGGGAGGAGACTTCTCTAGCTTTACTCCGAATGTGTTCCAGACTTTCCATGCGACAAGACTTTCACCCCGGTGCACCAACGTCTCGAGCAAACGAAAAATCAAGTCAGCTTCTAGATCGTACTTTTGGTGAAGATGCATTGCACTCGACTGTTGCAAACAAGCAATGGCATTTTCGTAAATAACAGCCACTTGGTCCTCACCTGACGTCTTCACTACGACTGCGTTCTCAACTAACCACAAAGCGAGTAAAGTCAATTTCATATCATCACGCACGCTCAATTGTACCGCAAGCGAGTCTGCCAATGAGCGCATTTTGTTGGCAATTTGAGCGCCACTTTGAGTATGCTGTTTCCATACACTCAAGTAGGCCCTGTCCAAACAGAAATACAGTAGCAATGCCACTTGCACTCGAAAATATCTTTCAATGGGCTCATGATCAACTTCATCACCGTAAAACTGAGCAACACTTTCCTGGATACTTGATGCTCTCAGGAGCCGAAACAGCTGTCTTAATTGTGTGGGCGGGCAGCATCCTTCAAGGTCCTCAAGCGGGATACCCGCACTCTTCATCACGTGCTCAATCAACAACATCGGTTTTTTCAGATCACTAACCGAGGATAGTTTGCTGCCGTAAATTTCCTCAAACTGTTCACGGTATGTAACGCGCAACGATCTCGCTTTGCTGTAAAATGCGTCGTACATCTCGTTATTAGCCGTCACTTCGTTCTCATTGAGCCATAACATGCAGTTGCAAGCACAGGCTGCACTCTGAGTGCGAGAAAGTAATTGCAACAAGTTCTGAATACCTGCAGTCGTCAATCGAACGAGCTCCGTCTTATCCACCATATTGTCCTCTGCATCCGCGTTATTAAAGCAGCACGCAGCCTGACAAGAACCTTCTTTTAGTCTCTCTGTAAGTGCAATCAAAATCATGCGCAATCCATTCAAATGTCGCAGTTCCTCGTCCACAATTTCCGTCTTTGGCGTCTCACGGCCACTACACTGTTGCTCATTTACCATCTCGTCCACCTTGTGCTCAATAAAATCGAGACGCTGACGTGCCCATTGCTGGACTGCAATTGGTTCCTTTAATACGTAATTTTTCACACCAGTAAAAGCCTCTTCAGGCTGCAAGTGTGGCTCCTCAGCACGAATATAAGCCACTACCAGATGCGCAAGACCACTCTGAAAACACACGTCAAAAAGAGCGCTTCGTTGCACGAGAATATGAGCATTAGATTGTCCTGTATGCAATGAAATATCCACATTAGCACGATGAAAGACGCCAGAGACGGAAAAGAACTCAAAAGTCTCAGCAGGATCGACGAATGGCTGCCATCCAAGCTCAGCAAAGCGTTCAAAGACCTGCAAAAGAAAGAGAGACATGAGAGGACGTGGAACGCCAGGGCAGACGGGGGACGAGAGGAAAACTTACCGGCAAAAGCATCATTCTTTCCCCCTTTTACTTGGTGTTTGGACACCAAGAGACTGGAATGGAGTATACAAACATGAAGATAATAGAGACATCTTACAAAGTGTAAGAGTAACAATTTCAAATTGGGTTCATTATTTCAACTCTTGTATGCTAACATTCTAACCAATCAGATTTCATAATTGTGGAACGGTTGATTGGTTACCAAAAAGATAGGACGTAGCCGGAAAAATGACAACCACTATAGTATCAAATATATATAACTCGGACATTTTTTTTCCGTCACTTCCATAGAGTAATTACGTGTTGTTTATACATGTGTCACCGATCGTTTGTGAATTGTTTATGTTTTGACTGTGTAAGCGACTACGGAGAGAATCATCTGTACCATGAGCCCTCTAATAAAGACTAGGTATCTGTATAGAGAAGGGAGTACTTGCGAGCTTCTTTACTGCTCAAACATGTCGTCAAATGAAAAGCCCATCCTATGGACGCTTGAAATTGTTAATATATTTGCGGCGGATAGTAGTCGTAATCCGGCTATCTGGCGTCAGTCCCGTGCACATCTTCGAGATTTAACCGAATCTAAACCACATTATTCTACTCAACTGTATGTCCGACAAACGCGCTTCGTCAATTGGGCGCGGCCCAAAATTCCATTTGTGACACGGTCAATACGATTCACAAATATTCCAGTCATGATGAGCTAAATTTCGTCAATTTGCAGCGGCTATCTGCTGACGTACCTGACTTGGCGCTTTATGATTGGTTCGTCGCAGGGAGTGTCCGTCCCATCTTGAATACGCGCCTACGCAAGTTCAAGGGGAATTGAAGTCGCGGGCGCGCACCGTCTTCTTTCATTCCGTCGCTTGCATGAGGGAGCTGTTTTAAACCTACTGGCAAGCCACTTCGCGAGATTGCTTTTGCTAAAATAAAATCTTGCTGTGTATACATCTGCTTCGTCATTACAATCGCGTCAAGCCTTCTTTTCTTCAGCCGCTTACGAAGGTTTCGGATACTACCATGCATAGTGATGAAGGCGACTTATCACCGGCTGTCCGATCCACGGCCGTGCCACCATCTCTCGTAAACTCACTCTCTGCATCTCTGCGCACGTCTCTGCATCGATTTGTTGCGCACGCAAAGCGCCTCTTTCCCAACGGCCTTTGTCGGATGTGAGTTCTTCCCAGCCTGCCTGTTATTACTTTGCACATAGACCAGACGTTTGTCTTGGGATTGGATCTCCAGATATCGCTGGACCATTTCTCCTGTCCGTAAACCAATGCTCATTTCCTTTTTTATCCAAAAGTGCGTAAGTTCGAACTACAAACTACAGAGTGATGCGTCCCCAGTTCGCCATAAGTTGCTTGCTGCAGCCATCGCCCTCGCGGACACTGACGTCTTGGCTGCTACCCATGTGAAGTCCGAGTCAGGGAGACGATGCCCCTATGGAAAGACTGTTAAGATCGAAGACTTCAGTGGACGTCGATGGCGAAGAGAGGGCGTCAACTTCGAGTGCTACGGAAATTCTTAAGTTGCTGACAACACCTGCGGAATCTTCAGCTAACCCCAGCTCTTTTAATAATATTGCAGATCAAATAGAGCGTGAGTATCATCGGGGTTCTTCGAGTTATTTGGGTAGAAAAAGTATTTCGAATGATGTACCGGCGGAGACTCTGTTACCAATCGAGCGCCTACGAACTCAGTTTAGTGACAAAGACATTATGAAATCAGTTAAGCCCGACAGTACTATAGGAAATTCCCTGCTTGAGAATTGGTATAAACATGAAATCTCTCTGAAGACGGTTCAAGCCTTTTTAAAGGAACACAAGCTAAAGAAACGTGGCTGGACAGCGGCCTACACGATGAAGCTTGATGAACATAAAAACAAGCAAAAAACAAGATGGTGAACCCAGCCTCTTCTTGAATTTGTTTAAGACTAAAGCAAGTAAAGGAATCAATAAGACACTAAAAAAAGTTATCGATATATCGACTGCTTTATGGTGTAACATGGTTCATTGTCACAAGTCGTTGTTTACATTTAGAATTCAGTAATGTCCTAGAGTCTTTGTGCAAAGCTGATGGTACGTTTGACACGGTGGTGTTGGCTTTCGCCGCGATGAGCTTTGAGCAACGACTATTGGTTTTGAAGGAGTCTGTTGTACCTCCTTTAGAAGGAATTACAAAGGGAATAGCTTAGAATTGCATTACGGGACATTTGTTCTACAGACCTGCTGCAAATAGGACCTGCCGAGCCGAACTAATACATTGCAGCGCTAAGAGCGATACTAGTTCAGATGCAAGGCTCACCCTTCATTCAAAGCAACGCATATTTGGCGCTCTCAACGGTGTTTAGCTGTGACGGGAGATACTCAGAAAGATCGCGTGGACTACAAGTGAGTACGTGTAGGCTGAGGCTGATAGTTATCATCTCGCTAGCATTGTGTACAAGAAATATTGAAGCCATCAGCGTCGTTTGACTCCGCGACGTGTTCTTCGCTCTTGCATTTGACAATATCCGTAAAGGAAGTGCCTAACTGATGACGATTGCTTCACTCAAAAATTTCTTTGTTTAGACTGAGAAGACAGAGAACATGGTCTGTGTGTGTCTTTCTGTGCTTCTTTGCTGTTTATGGTGTGGGTTTTGTTGGTTAATAGGGTGACGAGGATGAGCTGAATGGAGACAAAAGCAGCAGTGAAGAGGACATCTTCATTGCGGTGCATGGCACGGTTGATCTTGACTCAGCTTCAGATGATTCTGAATCCAATGAACCTGCACCACGCCGTAACATTTGTGACTTGATAGGCCATTATCTGTTAGATTACCCGTCGCCAGACAGTCCAGTAAGACTTACCAATGGTAATGTTAATGCTGCAAATGCTCAAGCTGCTGCTGAGATGCTGGAGCGAGCCAAGTATATTCCTCTGTGACTCACATACGAAGAACGTAAATTACTGCGTGGCCTGGAGGCAGCGTTGTATGTGAGTAGCTTAGCTATACGGACAAGCCGGACACGCCCAAGTTCCTGCCGGCGGCCAAGCGCGTGCGTGCACAGCTGCAAGATGTATGTGGATTCCTGTCGGCGTTAGCGGTGGCGTCGGACTACAAGGCTGGAGAAGAGATTATTGACGAAAAGAAATTTGCCGACTGTGCCGAGTTCTTTCTTCAGGAGATGTTTGAACTGGGTAGACGATACAAGATTATGAACCCAGAGAAAATGCGCGGTGAGTACGGCAAGCTCATGTACTTGTTGCAGGACGCTGTAAGTCCGGAGTTGCAGGAACTGTTAGGATTCTCTTGCCTGCAGAAAATTCGCACTGTGCACGATGTGGCGGAAGCTGGTGGTGCTTTGGATATGTTACGCGATTCTCGCATTCAGACTGCAACGAGGGTGGTTGCTCCTGAGGACAAATCACGCTCTCAGATTCAGCGCCAGATAAAGCAGAAGGAGCAGGCATTCAAGCTTTGAGCGACAAGTATGAAAGCCGACGTTTCTCACGTGACTGTCTCCAGCAGTGTCTGTACTCGATCGCAGATAACAATTACCATCTGTACTTCGAGCGCGACCCGATCGATCGCATGATTACGTTTCTCATTACGAATTTCAACCCAGACGACGAGGATGGAGATAGTTCTTTGGCCATCATTAGCGGAAACTGACGGTGCACGATTGTCCCATTCGCACGATTGCATAATCTGAGCAATGTGTGGAAGGTTTCGTTCCTACATTTTTGCCCAAATTTGCAAATATTCCGTTGCGAAAGCAAGCCATCGGCAGATTTCTACTTCTCCGTTGCGTGTTCAAGGCTCAAGCAGTCCTCATTTCTATCCTCTCCTGCCCATGGGGAGTTCGCAACATACAGATGGGAATATCGTGTCGCGTTGTGCAAGTTTAATGTGATTCTCGGTGGTTGGTATATGGCGATTCGTTGTATGAACACTTCATGTATGTGGGCTATATGGAACTTGGTTGGACTGTGTTAGGAGTCGCTGCAAGATTACAGCTGAGACGTTAGCGTCCAGCGTGTCAAGATCCCTACTGGGTCACAGTCGTATCACAGTTTTGCAAGTTGGTGATGACAATCGTGCGATTGCGTAGACAGTATCTTGATGGTGTGGACTGTCAAAATCTTGTTGCCTACAGGTCAGCCACGATGTGACGCAGGGTACGGACAGAGCGAAGTCGGAGATTTGGCACCTCGAAAGCCAAGGTTCCTCTGGAAGGTTTGAAGCGTTCTGCCGCATCCTTCGTGCTTGTTTCGGCCGATCTGGTTCGTCAAAAGCACAATGGATTAACATCCCACTTTGGCACACCAGCTTCAAGAATATGACCACGAGTTGCGCGGAAGCTAAAGTTCAAACACATATTTTCTCTCATTTGAAATGTCTGCACGTGTACTTGATCGTCGGTCCTTACGCTGCTCCAACCCTTGAGATCACTTTTATTGCCACCGGTCCTTAGATGGCCCACTCGCCGCCTTCGTTTGCCTCGTCCTCCGGTGTGATGAAAGGTGTGTGAATGGATTTGATCATAACCTCACCACAGAAAATACACTCGGATGCGATGATCTCGTCCAGCTTTTGCTGCACCATCTCTCGCTCCTGCGCAATGGACTGCTCTTTCGCAGCATTTTTCGCCTTTGCTGTCGCTGCAGCGCTAACTCCCTCGGTACCAGGCGTCATCACTTCCTTCTCGCTAGAGGACAAGTTTAGAAACGGGAAGGCTGAGAGCGATCGCTGGAACAATTTCGTACTCGCTGGCATTTCAGTGGAAAGCTCATTTAGTTTCTGAATAAGCTGCTTCACGGTTTGTCGCTGGAAACTATTGAGGTGTTTCTGCATTTCCTGGCGCAGTGCTCCAGCGTGGAAAGCGTGTGAGCACGGAAAGAGGTAAAACTCCTTGCCCAGAATGTTTAAGCCAGTAAGCTCACAGCGCTGGTTGCCCGATATGACAGCACATCGTTTACGCAGTTTCTGCATGTCAGCGCGGATCAACTCGGCCGACTGTGTGTAGTCTTGCATCTCCTCCTTCAGCTGTTCAATACGGTCATTGTACACCTCGAGCGACTCGCAAATCTCCTTCTTGAAATCGTTGATCAGGACAAAGTCAGGAAAGAAAGGAAGGATGTCCTCAATCTTTAGCAGATCACTCTCCTTTAGGATGTTCATGGCATCCTTGATCTCACCACCTGCATCAATCGTGTGCTTCGCGATCAGCGTCCACAGTTTCTTGCGAGTCTCATCATCCTCGGGCATGCCGGCCATTTCTTTAGCAATCTTCACATCTACTTGGAGTGCCTTTTCCACGGCGTCCTGATATAGCCCCATCGCCGAGTAGATGTAGATACACGCACGATTCTTTTCGTTCTGTGTGCAAAGCCGCAGTGCAAATGCAATGTCAAACAGGTGCCTGCCATTGTGTTTCTTACGTAAGAAGCTGATGAGTAAACGCTCATCAGGGTGCTTGGCCAATAGAAATAGCAGGTAATTGTGGATCGTTGGATCGCGGTTGCCTTGCTTGATAGCAAATTTCAGGAACCGAATGGCCATATCCAATACCGAACGACTTTTGGTCGTACTGTTCGCCGAGTCTCCATCCACACCGTTCTTCTGGTGCACATGGCGTACAATTGATGGAATGAGACGCGTTGGGTTGAGTGAGGTAGCCTCCAGCCATGCTTCGTATACTTCCTTCGGCTTGTGTATGATAAGTTCGGGCGAATACTTATACCAGAGCTCTTCTACCTTGGACGTTTCCACGCTGCGAAGCAACTCAATTGCAGCTCCATACTCACCGCGGTCCACGTGGTACGTAATGACTTTTTCATAATCTTCGATAAGAGTTGCATAAAACATAAGCTCATCAGGTCGACCGTGACTTGAGATCAGATTAAACGTCGTGGCTGGGTCGAGGTGACTCTTTTGGTCCTGCAAAAACTGCTTAAACTCGAACAACAAATTTGCGTGCGCGTCGACATCCTGTGCACTGCCCTTCAGCACATTAAACTTGTCCAGAAAGAGCTCAACGATCCACGAGCATAGCACAGTCTTCTGTGTCTTCTCCTCACTTCCCAAACTTTTCAGCTTTTGCAGCAAGAAAAGAAGCAATGAGTCGCGAGTCTCCTTTTCAAGGAACTTCAGCGCTACCTCTTCAAATGAACGCGTCGTCTTGGCGTAGATCACCGCGGCACGATCGAACTCTCCCTTATCAAATAGTGTGTCTGCCTGCGCAGTCAGCACGCGCTGACGTTCCCATCCATTGCGGCAGACGCTTAGTGCCTGTTCAAAACCGCGATCGTCGCCGTTGCCCGTCACAGCCTTGCTGAGAAACAGCTTCCACACATTACGGTCTTCGTCGGTAATGACTACCTCCAGGATACGACGGTTCGAGTGAATCCACACTGTTTTGAACGTGTCATCCACAGTAATGCTGTGCATCGTCCCGACTCGCGAGTCGAAGGATTCCTCCATTACAACGACGCCATTCAGCTTCGACACCACTTGAATATGGCGTGCAAACAACAGAATTACGTGGTACTGGGTCACTGCCATCGATATCGGTGGTGTCCATGATCCGCGACTGCCCGAAGACTTTTCAGGCTTATTCGGGTATGCCAGCATGCCCGTGCTCGTCGTCACATTGTCCATCGTGCTCGACAGACCAAACACAAATTCTCCATGGTACACTCCTTCACCTGTTAGTACACCAAAGCCCTTTGCACGTTCGCGCTCTTGTTTTGCATAGAATTGCAGTTCTGCCGTAGAAATGTCCCCTGGTAGTTCTTGAAACCGTAATTTCTCCGGACTCGTGTACTCTTTAAACATTGCTTCCAGTCCACCTGGACCTCCCCCAATGAATTGAAACAGCCGCGTCGGTCTTTTTCCCGACGCGGACGTCGTGAGCATGACAAAATATCTCAAATCTCCTGACGGTAATTTCCAATGTTCAAAAGCAATACCTCCAATAGATCCTTGATTCGAAATTTGATAGACTTTCTTGAAAGACTTTTCTTTCCCTCCATCAAACTCTGCTTTAAACACGGCTCCCGTATCGGTACCAATCAGTATCGGCTCAGAAGCTTCAGGTGATCCAGCTTGACGATCCCATGCTAGACAAGTAAATTGTAGTGCTTGAGCTTTCATGATTTTTTTAGGACGTGTTGATCCCGTATGTAGATAAAAATTTGATCCATTTTCCATGGAGATAATCACATGAGCTCCAGTTGGATCAATAAAGACATTATACATGGCAACACGTGGTTCAATCATAATTTCTTCAACGGTGCCATTACTATCTGTAGCTTCCGTGGTACAGCGTAGTAACATTCCTTCTTGAGATCCCATCACTAAGACACCATTTCCAATTCCCATGGAATTTAATGTAAATCCTTTACGACGTGAGAGTTTTAATCCATGTTCTCGTACTTCAAATATCGGTTTTTCTTCTTCTTCTTTGTCATGTCTTGAATGATCTTCACCAATTGTTTCAAAGTCAAAATCATCATTACTATTACGATCACCAGGAGGAAATCCGTCGGTCTTGATAGCTCCCTTATGATATGGTGATTCATAGATATTGCTATTAGTACCGCCATTACCACCACCACCTCCTTCGAATCCTTTAGTACGTGAGTCAGGAAGTGCTTCCTCTTCCTTCTTCCAGTCTGCGAAAAGATCCGCCGACATGTTTTTACTTGGATATTTTACTCTGTCCGATTGGGGGAATTTGATTGTGGAATGGATTTTTGGGAAATTGTTTATCAAGTTTTGAGGGGTAGTGTAGGTGTGGTATAATATCTAGATAATTGATTTTTTCTTCGCTATAGAATTGGATATATTGGAGTATGGACGCTGGCCCAGAAAAATTTGTCACGGGGAGTCGCACAGTCATGAATGCGTTGCTAGTACGTGGTGATGTGGTACCTGATGAGATACAACGCGTGCAAGACCTTGTGGAATGTATCGATAAGAATGCGCAGAAAATTGCGGCGGCGTTAGCGGCCAACCGCCGACGAGGTGCCAGTATCACAGGCGCCGATACGACTGCGCAATTGTTGAAGGAGCAGAAGGAGTTTATTGCACAAGTAAGTGGTTTATTATGGGCCTGCAGTACAATACGATAAAGTCTGATATGTGTTGATGGTGCGGACAGATCGCTGAGCTATATGAACAATTGAGTAATAAGCCATCTCCAGTCCTAACGAGCTGAACAATTATTGCAGCAAGTACAATTCAATACAATATTGAACAGTAATAGTATTTTCTTATAAATGGTCGGTGAAAAGTACATTGCTACAATGACATTGTCCTTATTTAAGCGTCATATAGAAAGCAGTGAGTCCACATGTATTAGGTTTGGCAGTATTCTGTACGCTCGCAGAAATTTAGAAATCGTCGTCGTATGTCATTACTAAAGTAGGTCACAATAGTCGAGTTTTTTTGGTGTAGCTCTGGTTATCCATTTCTCAAGTAATCTCGACAGTAACATTAAATCAAGGGACTTTAACTATGTACACTCGTAAAAACCTCTTGTAATTACCCTTACGACCAGTTCAACATGGATCCATGGCATCGCTTCAAAGCTCAACTTGCGCCTCCTCGACCATTACTATCACCAAGACCTTCATTCTCCATCTCTATTAATAATGACCCACCATCTCGCTAAAGGTATTGGCCGCATGTCCGACATGATCATGACCAAGGCCAAGGGTTCATGGGTCTGGACGTCTGATAATCGTAAACTATTGGACTTTACAAGTGGTATCGCCGTGACCAGTGTGGGTCATTCTCATCCAAAGGTCGTAGCTGCTGTACAGAAACAAGCTGCTACGCTCGTTCATGCACAGTTGAATATTGGCTATCACCAGCCCATGTTGAATCTGGCAGATAAGCTACTGCCCGTGCTACCCAAGAGTCTGGACTCGCTCTTCTTTGCGTGCAGTGGCTCCGAGGCCGTAGAGAACGCTGTTAAACTGGCACGCCATGCAACGGGCAAGAGCAGAGTCATCTCATTTCAGGGCGGCTATCACGGCCGCACAATTGGTACTATGAGTCTCACGTCGAGCAAGACGGTATACAGTGCTGGCTTTGGTCCGCTTATGCCTGGTGTCACATTTGTGCCGTACCCGTACGCACTGCACAGTCCAATACACGACGATGAAAAGAATACTCAGTGGTGTCTAGAGCAGCTACGTATTGCATTGAAACAGCAGTCGGCTCCGCGTGACACGGCAGCTATTATCATTGAGTCGGTGTTGGGTGAAGGTGGTTATGTGGTGCCACCCAAAAGCTTTATGAAAGGTCTGCGTGAAATTGCGTCGGAGAACGATATTCTGCTTATTGCAGATGAGATTCAATCAGGATTCGGCCGAACAGGGGACTACTTTGCCATTGACGGCTACTTTGACGTACAGCCGGATATTCTGACCTTTGCTAAAGGTATTGCCGATGGCTACCCGATTAGTGGCATTGCTAGCCGCAAAGAACTGATGGACACCCAGCCTCCAGGGTCGATGGGTGGTACTTTTGCTGGTAACGCCGTCGCTTGCGCTGCTGCCATTGCGACGCAGGAAGTCTTTGCAGAAGAGAACGTGCTTGAAAACACGCGCATTCGTGGTGCGCAGCTGCGTGCTGGTTTAAACAATCTGAAAGCGTCAGGCAAGTATCCGATACTGGACGTTCGTGGTCTCGGCTTGATGATTGGCGTTGAATTCGACCTTGCTGCCGCTCCAAAGGGCACGGCAAACAAAATATCGATGGCATGTTTGGGCCACGGTATGATGCTGCTGACGACGAGCATCTACGAAACTTTGCGCTTTATGCCTGCATTGACCGTTACGGAGGATGAGTGCACGCTTGCATTGGAGATCTTTGAGAGGGCTCTGGACGATGTCTTCCAGAAGTAGACATGAAGCGAGAATCTACGATACGTTGGCTGAAAGGGTATTGCAAATTGGTGTATTTTTAATCAAAAAATTGTAAGAAGGAGGCAAAATGGTGGAAATTAGAGAGGTGCCGGGCACCCATAAAAAATGGTATCATTTGTAGGAAATACCATTTTTCAATCAACTACTTTCTAGTACCAAAAAGTCCTATACATGAAAATAGACCATATACGTCTACACCAAGAAGCATTGTCAACTAAAACTATATTACTTTCCTATGGTAATAAAACATAGATGTCTTAGCTATAGGTATGTCTGTCTGTAATGGCTGCTTCTGCCTTATAGTAGCGCTGGTGCATGCCATGACCATCAAGGCTGTACCGAGCAGCAGAGGTAGCAGGCTCTTCACGACACATGGGACAGTGTGTGGTGCCATGCAGCCATTCAAGCAGACACTCTTCGTGGAACATGTGCATGCATGGCAGCTTGACCACGTTCATGCCGATACACTCCTTGTCGCCCCATTCACTTAGGCAAATACTGCAGCATTCACTGCTGCTGATGCTCTCGGCAGTCTTCCATAGGTTACTTTGTGAATCTACGACCACGTCCTCGAGCGACAGCACAGCCACCTTAAGCTTGGCCTCGCTCTCAATCTGTATGTCTGGGTACTCGAGGAAGTCCCGCAAAACCGTGTATAGCATCAGCAGCTGCTTTGCCTCAGTAGTAGTACCACACCAATCCATTGCATCAATGTCAGCGATTATCGGGATGCTAGAGGTGACCGTGACTAGCGACTGCACAAATGACTCAAGAGCTGCTCGGCGCTCGGTAATGATCACGTTATTGTCACAGCGAAAATGCCGACGCGGAAAAGGAGACTCCAGTGCCTTCTCTAGGACAAACAATGGGGTGGGGCAACTCGCTCCACTTCCGTACTGTTGCTTGTAATGCTTGACAAACCTACGCAGCTGCTGACGCACAGCATAAAACTCCGAATAACGTCTTGCAATGCTCCACTTGTTGCGCGTACTGAGGAAAGAGATGTCCATTTGATACATGGTGGCGGCTGCGGTCACACCAGCAGCACGTGCCACTTGCGTGCTGATGATAAGCGAGTTCTTGGTGGTCTCATACACGCGCTGCAGACGCTGCAATTGAATGCTCGTTTCGAACATGATCGTGTTGAAGTTGTCTAATTGAGCAACTAACCTGCACGTTGCGTATTTTTTGCCGAATGACCTCTTCTGTCCGTTGATAAGCCTCGAGATGTGTTCCCAAGGAACTCTCTTTGATGGACTCTATGTACCGATCAATGGCGTACTGTGTGACATGGTGCTCACTGGGTGACTGGTTGACTGGTTGACTGGTTCACGTGTGCTGGCTTACTTTTTTTGGAAATGAGGACGAACATTCTTGCACCAGCAGTTTGCAGACCAGTCTACAAGTCACTGTATCAAGAAGCTTTTAATCTTGCACTGCATCATGCAGTGTATGTATTATTTCAGCGACAAGCGTTCTAGGAGCTTTCTGCTAGAAGCTAGAAAATATCGTCGAGTGTCAATATATCGCAAGAACTAGCGCCGTACTACCTTGCGTCGTTTCGAGTCTGGATTCGTTTTGTACCAAGCAGCAGCGTTGCCACGCACGGTGATGGACAAGGAAATGTAGTAGGGAACATGTGAATGGCCATGGTGCTTCGATCTACCATGCAGCGGTGTATATCGCTTTAGCTTGGCTTGGGCCATGCTGAAGCGATAAACACAGCATGTTGAACAAACAAGCCTTTGCAAGTTGGACAAAGCTAGCGTTGTAAGAACTTCAGGACACACCTCGTCCCACTATTAATACTTGTACGAACAATATAGACGCGACGTTAAGGTTCATATTAATTCAATGTTAAGGTGTATATTTAATTAAAATGAACCTTAACGCCACGTCTATATTGTTCTTCTCGTCGTGTTATTAATACACGACGAGGAGCTCCATCGTACATGAGACATTGATAATGTTGCACGATATGTACACCACATCATGAAAATACTCGCAACCTCGTATCGCTACGTGTCCCGTTCAACAGAATAGCAGACACAAGATCAGCCACCATGGACAAGTACGTACAGCTCGTGACAGCGGTTGAAAACCCAGTCATATGAATATTGAAATACGAGTCATGCAATGACTACTGACACTCTAAGTTGCTTTTTTCATGTATTTGTAGCGACGAGATGGACGCGGCGCTGATGTATTTTGTAAACTGCTTGGGGGCAGCGATAATGATCTCTGTCGTAGGTTTTCACTACCTCACGGCCAAACCAAAGGATGCTGAGCTATAAAACGGATCGATACTATGATGAAGAAGGTAGGTGAATGTAGTGCTAATGTAGTTGCTGCAGATACAGTTGCTGGATGTCACGTTTAAGCATGCACTTACTCCAAGGTCATGGGTTTGTTTTCTATTGTACAGTCGCACCGCCTTTCGATACTGCAAGGCACGCGTTGATAAAGCTGTTATCATTGGGCCAGATGCAAAGGATAATAGGCTAAGAGGAAGAGTTGTTAACGACATTGTAGCGACTAAAGAGCAACATAATGTCTTATCATTAGGAGGGTTATCCATCACCAAGTAAACAGTCATTTTTGCATATATTACAGTACTATACAAGATGTCGAGAAGAGGCTTTAGATGTTGCACGACTTTTCCACTTAAACGTTACTTTGCTCTGGGTGAAAGTAGCTTTAAAGTAGCTATTCGGTCAACATCATGATCACGACCCGTGTCAAAGTGTTATGCGAGCGCATCATGAGCCGCGGTTACGAACCACGCGTGGCGCGTCTTATGGAGAACGTTAAAGACACAGTACGTGCTCAGCCAGGTTTCATCTCAATTGACACGTATGCGCAAGTGGATGACCACACCAAATACGTCGTGTTTTCCGAGGTATCCAGTCCCATTACTGACGTCTGAAGTTGCAATTCCCATATCTAATGTACCGTGTGGTTTATTATGCTAGTGGGAGTCCAAGGAACACTTTGACACGTGGTTGGCAAGCAAAGAGTTTCAAGAATGCACGCAGCAGATCAATGAGCTTTTGGACGTCCCTGGACTGCACATGCGCATCTTTAAAACTCCAAAAGACGACGTCTTTCTCCTCTGAGCACTTGACTGACAATACAATGCTTTGTAGTTGACTAGAAAAAGGTGATTCATTGCAGTCAAAATTTGTATGGCAAACATGTTTGTTTGTTTTGCATGTCTTCTTCTTCATGGTCTTCTTCTTGCATCTCTTGCAGCAGCCGCATCTTATATCGTCTAGGGGTCCACTGTTTCTTTTTGGCTAAGCAAACCAGCCTTGGAAAGTCAAGAATAAAGTTGAAGCCATTATGCACACTTCATCCCTTGCTATTCTCCCACTAGGAAGATTCGTCCGTCTTGCAACCCTTAATAAAACTCTTTATTCGATCAACAGTGTCCCGCACTGATTTGGTGAACGAATGCGGCTTGCTACCCGGGTCCTCGCCCTTCTCCACACGCTCGTTTTCCTCCTTTAGAAATTCCTCCATCAGCTCTTCCTGTCGCGATGACAAGCTCCTAAACAGTGCAAAATATGTAAGCATCATATTCACGGCCAGAAAATCATCACATTTTCCAGCTCAACTACGTACTTTGGAACGCAGACCTGAAGGTTCACTAGTTGCGAACCACGACGGTTAGAGTTAAGCTCCTTGATTCCCTTTCCGCGCATCTGCAACACCGTGTCTGGCTGTGTCCCACGTGGAATCTTCAACTCTACTTCACCTGTCAGAGTAGGCACCACAATTGAACTTCCCAATACAGCCTGCGCAATCGAGATAGGCACATCCACCAGCACATCCGTTTTGCGACGCTTAAAGAACGGGTCTGGTAAAACGTGAATGGACACATACAGATGTCCCGCCGGTCCACCGCACTGACCAGGTTCACCCTGATGCGTCAGTCGGAGGTTCATGCCCTGATCCACACCCTCCGGGATCTTCACCTCCACAGTACGCGGCTTCTTGACCGTGCCTTTACCATAACACTTTTCGCACGGTGACTCAATGACCGATCCTTTACCACGACAGCGGCGACACGGGGTCTCGATCGCAAAGAATCCCTGTTGACTGATGTATACGCCCGATCCATTGCACGTCGAGCACGTCTTTTTCTTAGTTCCAGGCTTAGCACCAGATCCTTTGCATGTGCCACATTCGACATCGGTAGTAATGTTCAAGTCGCGCATTGTGCCCTTGACCGCTTCCATAAAACTAAGCGTGATATCTACTTGAATATCAGTGCCTCGTTGTGGTTGGTTACTACTGCGACGTGCACGTCCTCCAAAGCCCTGACCACCAAAAAACTCCCCAAAAATGTCCTCAAATCCCTGTCCTTCAAAGCCTCCAGCACCGCCAAAACCCGCTTGCTCGTCTACACCAGCATGACCGTAAGCATCGTATTTCTCGCGCTTCTCGTCGTCTCCCAAAATCTCCCAAGCCTCAGTGGCTTCTGCAAATTTTTTGGCTGCATTTGGGTCCGCTTTATTAGTATCCGGATGATATTTCTTTGCCATTTGATAATATTTCTTCTTAATATCGTTTTTACTCGCGTCACGTGAGACCCCAAGGACATCGTAAAAATCGCGCTTCGTGGGTTCCATAGTGATGCGCGTACTATGGAATGACGCACAGCGTTCTACCAATGCTGATGCACCGTATGGAATCTTAATGGGTCGCCGCGTCTGAGCACGCACCGCCGCCGAGCGCAGCAGCACTGATCTCATGGCCATCACCTCAAGTAAAATAGTGACTCCGAAATTTATGGAATGGGATTGAATTGTGTGGACGCGATTCTAGAATCCATCGCATCCTTTCGACCAATCATTGCAGCAATCAAGTTGTATTGGCTAAAAAAGAGATAATCTGCGACGTGTGTGAGAACGGCTTGGACAATTTTTGACAACTCTCCAAGCAAAATGACAAGCAAATGACCTTGGGATTTCCACGAGGCTAGCTGCTCTGGTCTATTGAAGTATTAATACATCCACCGATCCTATCACTCGTCTTCAGTCTCTACGTTGTCATCCCCACTTTCGTCTTCGTCCTGCTCCTCTTGGCTGCTGCTGTTATTGTCCTTAACATTGTCACTTACCATCTCTTCCCCCTCGTTGTAAACCACAGCAGCACAAGTCTCATCATCGTCCTGCTCAGTATTCGCGTTTGTGTTGACATGAATCTGGCCCAGCACAAGTGCCAAGCGGCCAGAAAGCTTCTGCATCTGCTCGTGCACCTGCAATCTTGTTTCCAGGAGCTGGTAAAGAGCCGATAGACTAGACACAAGATCAGGCTGAGCAACCAGGTATGCCGTGTGGTGCAGCAGAATAGCACGCAGCCACGGGCAAAGGCGTGAAAAGCGATTTGGAGACCGTTCAATTTTACGAACAATCACCTCCAGCAGAGCCAGCACACGAGATGCTGACACACGAGCTACTGTACGCCCGACAATTTTAGCGTCACGCAGGCGTAGGCAGTACTCTAGAAGAGCGTTGTCGCGCGCCTGCAGAGCCTGTTCCAGTACACTCGCAAGCGAAGAGGCATCAGGTTTGTTTTTCCGAGCCTTATCTTCTAGCGTTTCCGCCTCACGCTCCGCACGGCTAAGAGCGGCAGTCACATCACCCTCGACACGCTCACGCAGAGCCTCTACACGCTCAGCCAAAGTCAGTTCGTTCTCCTCCTCATCTGCCTCGCCGTTTAGCTCCTCAAATCCCGCGGTTTCATCCACAACAGTCATGGAGTTGACGAGAGCGCGACGTTCACTCAGCGTTGGCACGTGGGTCTTCTCATCGTTAGCAACATCATCAACCTTTAGTCGCTTGCTGCCGTTCTTGGTAGCTGCTTCAGCACGCTCTGCCGTAAGCAGCAGAGCGTCACTGATCTCTGCAAACTCCAGCTCCTTCTTCCACTGACTTGGCGCGTTTTCCTCTACAAGTGTTACTTTTTCAAACACAGGCTTGACGAGCGATCCTCGCGCAACCAGAATTTCTGCTTTCGGATCTTTGCTCTCCTCTGTGCTTAGTTCCGCCAGCAAGATACCGGCGCTTTCAGCTGTCGACAACGTAGGTGGCAGCGGCTTAGAAGCCAATGCAAGCTCGGATGCATCGCTTACCTGTTGATACTTGTGGGCCCAAAGGAACATTGCTCCTGCAGGTGCCGTGACTCCCACCAGCAAATCCACGTGAGAATTGGCCGTCTTGTTGTTCTTCTTCTTCTTCTGCTTCTTGCGTTTCTTAGTCGCCACCGTCTCGCCAACTGATGCGCTAGCAAACAGACCGTCGGCGCTACTCGGCAGACTGAACGTGAGCGCCGGTGCATCGTGCTCTGTCAGTGCCAAGTCGTACATGTTGACAAAACGAGCACCAGCCGTCGCTGCAAACAAAAATCTGGACGCCTCCAGTCCGTCTTCCACCACAGCGTATCTCAGCTGCGTCACAGCGGATGACAGCCCTGAGACTAGCTTCCTGCTCCTCTTGCCGGATGCCAAGTCAAACGTTCGCAGCGCCGAGCCTCCCGCCGCCAGAATCTCGCCGTCTGCGGAGACTGCAAGGGCCGATGCACCGCCCGATCCACAACGAAACTTGCGCTCTACTTGACCAGTACTGAGACTCCACTCAAGCACGTACTTATCACTGGAGCTAGAGTACAATAAGCTGCCTTGTGGATTAAAAGCTAGCGCCTGCACTGCGCCAGCTCCATGACTGGCTTCTGTTTGCAACGTGTGCTTTACTTCGCTAGTCGCTAGATCCCACACCACGATGGAGCCATTGCTGGTACCTAAAGCCAACAGTCCCAAGTCACTGACACCGCTGCGTTTCTTATTATTTCTCTTGCTATCACTCTGCGTCCAAGCCAGACATGTGAAGCGATAACTAAGATGATCACGCTCCTTGAGCTCCTGCTGCAGCGATCCACTCAGTACGTCCCATATCTTGAGACGGCCATCATCGGACACGGTCACAAAGTGCGTCTGCGATTCGGTAAAGAGCTGCATAGCAGGCAGAGGACAGGCAAGTCGGGTAGTGCACGAGCAATTGGAATAAATTGGCTGGCTGGAGCTCAAAGTGACATTTCCTGTGATTCTACTGGTGCAGAGCAGCTAAGCATCTATGTAGTCAGTACAAGAGGTTTAGCAGACATATTATAAAGCACTTGAGGCTAGCGATTAATATATTAGTTTTGGTAGGTGGTGTAATCGTCAACTCGACTTTTAAATAAAGTATAGTATACCAAATAATGTCGAAAATATAAAATATATACCATAAGACGAGAAAACTAGCAAAATAAACCATACGTATAACATGACAAAAAAGGTACCAAAGGCGGATGTCCTTAGCAGGGAGGTCTTTTAATGTGCTTGTTTACCGTTTGACAATACACAATAGTCAGTTTCCAAGCATTGACCGATAAAGGCCATAAAAGCAGTCAACACACTGACCAATGACCGATGGACGCGGGCAATAAGTGGAGGGCAACTAAACAGCATACATACTGGTAGTTAGTTATATATAGCTAAAGTAGGTTTTAAATGATATATATTAAGGAACGTTTAGCTGTATGTATTAAGTTCTCCTTCTTTCTACAACTAAGCGTGTGCGTTTAGTTGTTCAGCTTCCTCTGCCTCTCTGTGTATAAAATGTTACTAGGAACCTGCTTACACTGTCAGTGTAAGTCGACGACACTGTGTCAGTATGGTCGGAGGGTGCCCCATTACACCTAGTAGCATTTCGTGGTCCGTTCACCCCGACACATCCGGTCACTCAAATGGCAGGCGGCACAGCGTATGGCTAAAACTGTCGGCGATGCCTCTATCGGTGCCATGCTGCTCTCTCTTTGTGAAAATGAGCAGCATGCAACCATCAGTAAGTTCATACAGCATGAACTTGACGAGGCGATGAAAAAGCTTACCTTGCTACAGCAGCAAGGTGATTTAACAAGATGACTTGTTGAGACAACAGCAATCAAGTGCTGCTGCTGCCAAGCCGACGCATATGCGTCGACCCGAATCCTTGAAGATTGATGTCTCCAAGTACAAGGCACTCCTTGTTGGGATGGTTCATCGAGATCGACGACGTCATTGAAACTCGTCGCATCGAAGATGGTCAAATTCGCCATGTCGACTTGGCTGGACGTGCCAAAGCATGGTCTTAGGGCTCAAGCGTCATCATTACGCACGGCTGTACACTGTACACACCTCTCGCAATGGATGGCAAGATAGCCTACGTTTTACGCGGAGTTTAATTCTCCGTGGGGTTTACAAAGCGAATTCCTGCAAAATCTAGTGAGCGTAGTTTTTTTGCAATGTCTGACCGACATGTGCGTATACCGGAAACGTATAGCTGTCTATGTAGATGACTTGCTGGTGACAGCAACCAGATTAAATGTTGTATATGTGGTATAGTGGATTCTTAAAATGATATGATACGACTCCAAACCGCTCCCTGTGACGAACTGCCGACTGTCGAAGGGGGTACCCCGATGCCGCGTATGGACCTTTTCTCGGCGGATGGCGGGTTTCACTCTTCGGAAGACTTGGCGAGGATGTGGATGTCTGCCTTGAAGAGGTATACCTGGGGGGATCGAGCGGATATGCTTCACTTTGTAGGCCGGTAGGTGGCCATTCGATCGATCTAGTCGAGAGTGGGCTTAGAACCAAATTTTTCAGGGCGAATGTCGTCCTGACCATTTCCTTGTTGTTTCAGGGATAATAAGCACCTGACCTTTAATTTTCTCCCGGACCGTGATGTGAAGTAGACCGCTTCCGATAGCGGGTATTTAGGGGATGCTACTCGAGACGAGCTCACAGGTCATATGTAACGGGGTTACACGACGGTAGTAGCGTCTTTCCGAGAGTTTACGGTTAAACTCCCCTTTGTATTGCATATAATGCATTATTATACTTCTCTTTAGAGAGGTATTAAGTATGAGCGTTTTAATACGGTATTCGGTAATACCGTATCTTATCGATTGGGATTCGATAAATCACTAACGCTGTATTAAGTACATCATACACAGATGTTTAGACGATACGTCGTCCAATAGCAAAGTCTGCATATAATAATTACTATTATAGTAATTAATCTAGTGTAGTGTACTTAGAGTAGGACTATTCATAAAATCTTAAAGCATAAATAAAATCAGTTCTCCTTTTGAGTTTAAGATCGCAAGTCGATCTGACTTGTTCTCTTGTGCACTTCGTGCGTTGGTTCTCTGAACCTTTAAGCTTCTAGCTTGTTCTTGCACTCTGTGCGTTGGTTTTCTGACCCTTAAGCTTATTGCTTGACTGACTAAAAGTCTCTTTTTTCGTTCCTTAGAAAAGGATGACTTTAAGTCCTTTAATTAGTTCCTTAATACTAAGTGGCTTTTAGCCTTAACTCTATTTAGTTCTCTAGAACTAAGAAGCTTTCAGCCTAAAGTCTTCCTCTGGCTAAAAGGCTGTGCAGCTCCGCCACACTTGGTAGCACTTGTAGTCAATCCTACACCTGAGTCTTTAAAGACTGACCCTCTGTGAGGATGGAGAATCAAAATCACCTCTCTGAGGCGACTCGCCTTAGATAAACTATCTGCGTTCGTTGGACCCGATCAAATCGAGGCCCTTTTGGACCAAGGCCCCGAGGTTCTAAATGCTCGTCTTGAGGCCTTTATGCGTTATGAAGCAACGCTCCTCGGGCAGGTCCATGACCAGGCAGCGTCAGCTGCGCCTACACAGTACATTCCGGTGCCTGTTCCCGACGCAGAGCCAAAGGCTCGCCCACTTGTTTTAAACGTAAAGACCTTCGATGGGAAGGAGGGAGAAAATCTTCTTCTCTGGATCCGAGAAGTTGAAATGGCAATGGATGCAGCCATGCTTGTATCAGATAAACAACGAGTTGGCTTGGCCATTTCGAAGCTCGGTGGAAGAGCTAGAGAATGGGCTCTAACGAGCGATGTCTCTGTAAATGCTGCATTTCCCACATGGTAAATGCTTAATAAGCAATTAGCTTGCGTGTTTGCACCGCCTAATCAGGCTTATCGTGTGCGCTCACGCTTCTTAGCTACCCGACAGGGTAAGAAAGAATTGTCGAACTATGTCTAAGAGTTGAAAACTCTCATTGCTGCTATGCAGCAGGACCCACTGGCAGAGGAAGTCCGAGTAACCATTTTTATGGAAGAACTTCGCACTGAGGTCCCAGGACGGAAGTTTTCCGTGTCCAGCCTTCGAATTTCGAAGAGGCAGTAAGCATAGCGTCAACGCGGATTTTAATTTTTGAATCTTCTCGATAAGGTCTGCCCAGGTATCAATCAAATACCTCTAACAGGGCGGAACCCATGGACCTCAGTCAAGCTGAAGAAGATGTACTTCAAGCTGCTGAGCAGCAAGGTAACATCAGTAGATGTTACATGTGCGGAAGCACTAGGCATCTACTCCCTGGCGTCCGTTGCGAAAGCAACGTTCAGATAGGCTGAGCCGAAACCCTGCTCCTAGCCAAAAGGCGAGCACGGCAGGGGAGAAAGTCAACCTTCAGTAGGCGCGAGGCGCCCTACTGGGGATAAACTACGTTCTGTTGAACCTCTAGGAGGTAAAAATAAACAGAGCTTAGCCCCAGGGGGTTCTGTGGAAGATTCCATGGAACAAGATTACAAGCCAGGCTTGTAGGTTGTTTCGGCAGCCGTTAAGGGTTTTGAGAAACCATGGTCAATTCTATTTGACTCAGGGGCATCAGGTAATTATGTCCTACGTCGTTCCCTTGAAGGGAGTCAGCTGTATGCTGAGGCGCTAGAAGCGAAAGAGGGTGACAGTATAACCGTGCGCCTCGCAACAGGTGTACGTGTCACCGTTCCTAAAGTTCCGTTGAACTTAGGTGTGAAGTTCTTAGACTTCAATTCGCGTTCAGCGCTGTCTTGTCCTATATTTGGACTCAAGATATGATCTCATTCTCGGTATGGCCTGGCTGGAACGCCATGAGCCGTCGATCGATTGGAGATTTAAAACTTTAGGCGCAACGCGCAATGTTCCAAGCGAAGATTTGGAGAGTCATGAACCCACCTTCGCTAGGAAACATAAGTGCTATTGGCGCGAGACATTAACTGAGTCAGTTAGTGTGCTGGACATTGGAGTATCTGAGTTGATAAACTCCGATGTAAACAATAATAGTGTCGAGCAGAGCTCAGTGACACCTAGTGGAACGGCACGTACTCCGTTAAGTGATACCCAAAGTAATATTGAGACACTGGATGTCGGTAATGAAATCGGCTCTTGTATAGAGCAATTGAAGGTCGATGACCTTGTTAGTGATATTGGCTGTAAATGCGATTCACTGGATGTCGGTAATGACATCGGCTCTCGAATAGAGCAAGTGAAGGTCGATGGTCTTGTTAGTGAAGTCACTGGTAGTGACCCACTGGATGTCAATACTGACATCGGCCCTCGCATAGGGCAGGTAAATGACAAGGGTCTGTTGACCTTGGGGATAATAATATCCCAAGTACTTTAAAAAGGTACGATCTCTTCAATGAGACGGCAGCGTCGCCAAATGGCGGCTGCGAGACGCCAAGCGTCTGTTTTATCGCATAGTAATGTCAGTGACCAATTGTACACCCTGGTCAACGGAGTGACAGGTGATGTAGATGGTGAGGTTGACCTTGAGGCCCCCCCATCATTAAATGCTCTTTTAAAAGTAGACGAAATGTCTGTGGATGAATTTTATCAGGCCTTGAAGGCAGGTGCTCTATCCGATATGGTGGTCATTCGACCTAACCTCGAGCTGAACTCACCCTCGCTTGTCGATGAGACAGTCCTTGAAGATACAAAAGCGGCACTAAGTGCACGTAGTGGATCATCTATTTTGAAGAAACCTTCGGATCCTTACTACCCTTTAGTTAAGGAATTCCAGGACGTGGTGTGTCACGACCCACCGTCGGTTCTACCACCTGTTAGGGGTGTACGTCATGAAATTGAATTGGTTTCTGGAATCAAATACTGTGTAACACGGCAGTGGCCTTTACCCAAAGAAC